CTTCCCATGGGGACATAGAAGGTGATAAGATCTGAGGTGAGAACCTACAACTAAAACCATGTTTAATCAAGTAGGTATTTGTAAAATCTGTTTGAGTTGAGTTCTTTGAAGGTATAGTTTAGATATATGTATCATAGCCCAAAGAGCGTGGGACAGGGTGGTAAATGACTTATCTCTATCTTGTCCTGCTCAGAACATGACTTGGATCAAAACATTCTCACTTGTTTTATTTAGTCTGCTGCTTAAAACCTCTCAAAATATGTCTTTTTCACATTTACTTTTTCTTAAACCCCCCAGTTTCACTGTTCTTGGTGATCTTTATACTCCACTGCCTGCTGAAACTTCTTCCCCACTATAGTTCAGGTGCTCTTGTCCATGTCCCCTGTACTTGCCTGGGCTTCAGAGATGGCTGCTGAGCTCAGAAACAACACATAGTTTGGCTTGGATTTGTTTATAACACATACTGTTTCATGGAATCCTAGAATCCTGGGTTTTAGAGTTTAAAGAACCTTCATGGTCATTTAAATCATTTAAGCCATTTAGGTTCTCTTTTTTTCTTATTAGTGACTCCCTTCTTTTTAACCCTACAATTTTGCCTGCTATGTAAGAGGTGCTTACATCTCCGTAGAGCTGTCTTCCATTTCTCCTATGTATATGCTTTTTTTAAAGATTTATTTATTTATGCATACAAGAACTGGGGTACAGGCCAGAGGTGCAGGGGGTGAGAGGATTCACCAGAGACAGAGCGGGGAACACAACAGGCAGATTGACTGAAATACACTGCTGAGGGCAACAGCAGACGAGTCAGCAGAGGTCTGCTGTGCCATGTGGGTTGCTCCCTGGCCGGGGATCGAACTCATGCTACAGTGGCTGTGGACAGCTTCATAGGTTGTGTCTTAACCCCTTGTGCCACCAGGGAGTCCCTCTCCTATTTATATTTTTACATCCATTACTTACACCCATTTGTTAACACTTGGACATGTTGCCCTTTGACTTTCCTTTTCTTGTCTGCCTGTAATTGTTTTATCTGTCTTTTGTTAGAAAACACTGAGATTAGAACTTTAAGTGATTTTGTGAGAGCTGAATGTCAAATATCCTTAAAATATTAGCCCTCACTGTTGCTTTAAGAAGCAGTGGTTTGACAGCCCTGGACATGAAATTTTAGGCTTTGAAAATCATACAGATTCAACTAATGATTTCTCTCCCATAAAGCTTCACTTTGCAGGGGGGCACCATTAAAATTTCCATTTCACTTGCAGTTTAGCCTTTGAAGAGAATATAATTCTAGAATTTGATTCTTAGCTCTGTAATAATCTGTTAGGTTATAGATCTTTAATAAGCAATGAGGGCCTCCCTGGTGGCACAAGGGTTTAAGACACAACTTATGAAGCTATTTGCAGCCACTGCAGCACGAGTTCGACCTCCGCTAGGGAGCTACCCACATGGCACAGCAGACCTCTCCTGTCTCGCCCACTGCTCCTCTCAGCAGTGTATTTCAGCCAGTCTGCCTGTTCTGTTCCCCATTCTGTCTCTGGTGAATCCTCTCACCCCTCAACCCCCGCACCTCTGGCCTGTACCCCAGTTTCTGTATGCATAAATAAATAAATCTTTTAAAAAAATAATAATAAGCGATGAGTGTTCCCTTTACATTTATTACCAACACACATCAGTATGTAAAAACTGAAGACATTTAACGCTGAGGAACAAGTCAACTGTCTGACACTGAATACGTAAGTTTTCAGATCCTGATAATGTGGTCAATGTCTGCATTATGTAGTGTGTAAAGTATTCAGATCTTTACTCCACAAGTGAACTGGCATGAAAGAACAGGGCCTTTGAAGACAGCAAACCTAAGGCTTTTCTCTCAACTTTGCCACTTGTCAGCTCTAAGACTGTTGTAAATCATTTAACCTTTTTCAGTTTCTTTGTCCTCAGCTGTAAAACAGGTATAATCAAATGCACCCCATGCATTTTGTGAGATTAAATGAGATTATGGATATAAAATGTCCAAATAACATTTGGTACAAAGTAGGTGGTTAATAAATGCCAGGTCCCCTGGCCTGTACTTTTCCATCTGGGCTAGCAGAAAAAGCCCTGGACTTTATTCCTGGATAATCCTAAGGGACTGAGAGCATTTTCAGAATGTTTTATAAGCATCTCTTACCTCTCAGTCCTCATTGCAAGAAGACATACTGCCAGTGGTGGGAAGGGGGGCAAAGAAGTGAATACTTAGAAAAAAAAGAGATAAGGATGAGAGAGGCAGGAAGAGGAGGAGATAAAGGAAGAGACAGAACATGAAAGAGGTGTACCTGGTGGGGGCCAGGAGGTGAGATGGAAGTATTACAGAGAAATCATCAGCTTTCTTAGAACCAGACATCTGTGTGGTTCACAATGAAGACTGTAGGAATATGATATGGTAGACCTGTGTCCAAACCTTGGTTTCTCCAATTATTAGTGCTGAGGCTTTGAACAAGTTTCTTAATCTCTTGGCACTGTGGTTTTCAAATGAAGAGAACAGCTAAATTTACTGAGTGCTTACCATGTGTGAGTACTATTCTCTTTGAAGAGCCCCAGGTGATGGATGAAATCGGGATCCTTATTTGACAGGTGAGGAAACTGGCTTAAGAATGCAGTTAACATTTGTTCAGGATCACAGAGCCAGGATTTGTCTGGGTCTGGCTGTGGCTCACCACACTAAAATTGCACCCTGGACTGGGGAGGACAGGAGATCCAACTGAGAGGACCACTGTAAGGCAACCAACCCATACTGGGTAGGTTCATTAACGCTTCTAGCAGCCATGTTGTCTTCATGCTCTTCACCATTCGTAGTTGCTGTACTCCGTCACACTCTCTCACTCTCCGCCGCACTCCTCCATCCTCGACACCGCACCTCCACACTGCACTCTGCTACGCCACCCTTATAAACCCAGTCTCTCAGCCCAGGTGTACCCACCTACGCATGCCCACACCCTACTCCAGGTGCCTGCCATCAGGCATGCATTCAGGGCCGCAAGGATCTATCATTAATCCTAATGGTGAGAGGGCAGAAAAGCCTGATATTTTACCTACCCTACAACCACACAGGAGCTGCCCATAGTATGTACTCATTTTTCTTTCTTTTCTCCTCTCTCTGGCTGCTTGTTTTCTGTTACCCAGGTGGGACTTAATGTTCTGGAAATTTCCATCTGATTAAATGGGACTTGCTGCTCCAAGTGGAACCCCCATGTAATTTCACCTCTAATGTAGTCCAGGTGTCACTGTCAAGCAAGTTAGATTGGTACAGTTGAAGGCTGTTTTCAGTGGTTGCTTCTATTGATTCCACTCCTGGCTGTAAATCAAAATAAATATGATAACGAGAAAAATAAAACTTCACACACACACACACACACACACACACACACACACACATACACCATTGTCTTATGGATTGGTGGTTATTTCTTCTATTGGTTCATACTATTTCGGCATCCAGTAGTTAATAATGCCTCATTTTTTAACAGAGTTGTGCTAGGTATGAGGAATATGAAGGTGAGTGAGATAGGACTTCCCCTTAAGTAGACCCTTGTATGATGATCCTAAAGTCAAATAATTTACTACAACACAGTAAGTTCAGGAGTGGAGCGGAACACAGAGATTGTTATTTGTCTTTTGTATTTTTATAGAATCAAAAAATGTTTTCCTTGTGATGTCTTATTGTATAGAGAATTCTTACTGTACTTCAATTGAAAAAAAAGACACATACTGTCTTTGAGTTATTTAACGAATACATGGTTTTTAAATCTTATTCTTGTTGACTGACAACTCTATATAAATTTCTGGGGTACATCTTCCCAAGCCTTCCCCCACAACCAAAGTTCTATTCCCATTCCCATTGTCAGGCAGACACCCTCTACCCTTCACTCCTACCCTACTTCTCCTCCCATTTTGGTAACTGTCTTTTTCAGAAAGTCAGTTGTTTCTGTTGTGATTTGGCAGTTTGTTTTGGTTACTGATATTCCACATATGCAAAAAATCATCTGATAATTGTCTTTCACTTCCTGATTTATTTGCTTAGCATAATCATCTCATAGTTCATTCATGTGGTCAGAAAAAGGCGAGATTTCACCTTCTTTAATAGCTGAGTAGTGTTTGATTCAATATTTGTGTATCACAGCCTTTATCTAGTCATCCATCAGTGGGCATTTAGGTTGTTTCCATGTCTTTGCAATTGTGAATATGTTGCTATTGGACATAGGGGTGCATAAACCTTTTTGAATTAGTGTTTTTATTCTTCAGAAAAACATCTGAGAGAGGTATTGCTGGATCATACGGTATTTCCATTTTTAGATTTTTAAGAACTCTCCATACTGTTTTCCATAAGGGCTACACCAGTTTACCTTCCCACTAACATCTTCACCAGCACATCATTTTCACAGCTGCTTTGAGACAGGCCATTGTCACAGGTGTGAGGTGATAGCTATTGTGTTTCTACTTTGTATTTCCATAATAAATGAAGTTGAGCAGTTTTTCATTATCTGTTACCCACCTGTATTATCTTCTTTGGAGAAGTGTCTGTTCAAATCCTCTGCCCCCACCCCCCTTTTAAATTGATTGGTTTGGCCTTCTGTCGTTGAGTTATGAGTTCTTTATTGTATTTTGGATATTAAATCTTTGTTAGATGTACATTGAGCAAACACCTTTTCCCAGTTTTCTTTTTCTGTGATGGTTTCTTTTGCTATACTAATACATGTTTTAAGGTAAGTCAGGAATCTAATTTTCTCATCATTTTAATTTTTTTGGTGTGGTAACCTTGTTTTTTCTAAATTCTGTGGCTAAACATATACATGTTCCTTGTTTAACAAAAGAAAAAGGAAAATACTGGAACAACAGAAACTGGGTATTATCCTGTGATCCTACTCAGAATCACTTAATAACAAATTGACCTTAAAAGATCTTATGGGGTGTGTGTGTGTGTGTGCATACAGATATATGAAAAATATGATTTTTTCCTTTCAAAACAGAGCCTACTGGCATGTTGGATGTCTGGTACATGAAACAACACATTGACTACAACACACAACAGATATCTCTTTTCTGGAAGGTAAGTTTTCACTGTCAACTTACAATTTATTAGTACTATATGTTTTGTTTTGTTTAGCTTTTTGAGATATAACTGACATGTATAGGGAATTATGTGTAGTTGAATAGTAGGTTTCAAGGTCAGAAAAATCATCCTCTTTCCATGGAAGCTTTAATACAAAGCTACAAAAACTTTGTTAGCACCCCTTTCTCACTAAGTCAATTCACGTTTACCAAATAAAGGTGAGAGCTCTGACTGAGTTCCTTTCTCCATGTGATCACGTCTTCTCCCCATCCACTTCTAATTGGCACCCCCAAACATGTTCACCCTCAGACCCCACTACACCTTCTCTGCTGGCTCTTTTCTCCTCTGCCCATCCCATACAATTTGCCCAGCAGTGACCATGCTTTACTTACTTTTTGGGAAATTAAAAATGGGAAGACTGTGGACATGGATATTTAGGGGATACATTTTTTTATAGTCATTGAAAAGGGAACGGGAGAAAGAGAGACTCCCTCCCTTAGGAATACTACTAGTAGTAGAAAATAATACAAATAGCAATAGATAGCAGTTCTTCTTCAGGAATAGTTGTAAAGCAGTAAATGAACAAACTTCTAGAAAACAATGAGGACTAATGTTATTACCGAATGTGAAAGTTTCACAGAGTCCTGAAAGTTGGCATTGTCATTTCATTTAACCCTTACAAAAACCCTATGAGTATCCCCTAAACAATTAACAAATGAAAAATGGAGAGTCAGAGAGAGAGGTCTTCCCAAAGTCACCCAGCTAAGTGCAATGTTGAGACTGAAACGTGGTCCCTAACTCTTTGTGATACATTGTGACTCATCTTTGTCCAGTGTGAATACTATTGAATTGAGCTGCTGATTGGCATGATCTTAAGAGGAGGTTTCCGTACTCCTCTTTATTTCCCAAAACCTGCATCCCACTCACTACCCCTCTTCCAGTTAAGGGTAATAGAAGAGTTTTGGAATTATGAAGCTGATGAACCTGAAACTAGAAGAGTGAAAGTAATGAATATAAATTCCTCTTCTGGAGTTAGTGTGAGCAATTTTGATAATTGCAATCTTCAATTTTAAGATACGAGCCTCCCACACACAAACACACACTCATGCACACATGCACGCTCACACACGCATACACATGGTGAGGTTTTTGTTTAATCAATCCTGGGAAATGTGATGTGAGGGACACCCCACCACTGCAGAGCAGGGTATTTCAGATATTGGCTCCAAAGGAAGCCCCAAGTAAAACCCAATTAGCTTGTGAGCAAAGTGAGAACACGTCTCTCATAGCTCTGAAGTGTGAGATGGGCTTTCATTTTTGTAGGATGTTTACACTAGAGGAGAATAACTTTGTGCTAAATGAGTGCAGTCTCTTTTAGGGGGACCTGAGTATGTGTGTGAAGGTGAGTATTTGGAATTGTATGATTTTGATGTGTGTGCATGTGTGATGTATATGTGGGTGAGTGGGAAGGACATTGTAAGTATGTATGGAGTTTTGTATGTGTGTGGGGGATGTACTATGGTTATGTATTGTGTGTGTATGTAAGTATGTGAGATTCGTGTTTATATGTGAGTAGACTGGGTGGCTTATAAACAACAGAAATCTGTTTCTCAAAGGTCTGGAGAGTGGAAATCCAAGATCAGAGCACCGTATGGTCTGGTAAGGGTGCTGCTTTGGGTGAAAGAATTCTTATTGTATCCTCGTGGGAAGAAGGGACTCGGGAACTCTCTGAGGGACTTTTATAAGAGCACTAATTCCATTTATGAGGGCTCCACCCTCATCAGCTCATCACTTCCCAGAGTTCCTACCTCCTAACACCATCACACTGGGCATTAGAATTTCAACGTGTGTCACTCTTGAAAGCATAGAGATATTCAGACTATCGGTGAGTGAGTGTGAAGGTGTAAGTGTTATGTGAGTTTGCAGGAGATGGGTGTGTGCGTATATGTGTTATGAGTGTGGAATGAGTGTGTGAATGTGAGAGGGTGTGTGAGTGTGTTGAGGGTGAAGGAGACCTTTGTTTTGCTGCTTCAACCTCCACTGTTACTCATTTTCCCACACTTTGGTTTCACCTGGAAGCACCTTTTCCTCAAAAATACCCTGTGCTATTTTTGCCATAGCTTATTTTTAAGAGAAAAACAATATAATTTGAGAATAAAACAAGAACACCTGTGTATTATTAAAAGGGCAAATGCAATAATAATACATTTATTTAATCCAAAAGTATCTGGAATATTATTATAACACATTGATTTTAAAATTAATGAGCTATTTTATATTACTTTTTTCCTAATAACTGGTCTTTGAAAGTTGATGTGCCTACTAAGTGCCAGTATTGTACAGTGGCTAAGAGCTCACCCTTTGGGTAGCAGCACGCCTCAGTTCAGGCTAGCCACACTTCCAGAACTCCGTAGCCCTATACTATAAGTGGCTTCTTCTGTTGTGGATAGTAAGACTTCTGAACCTTGACAAACTATAAAGAAGAGACTCAGGGAAACTCATGATTCCAAAAATGGAGAAAAGATTTGCCATTTTTATTCATTTGTTAAATGAAGGTATTTATTTTGGTAAATAGCTGCCCTCAAACCACAGAAGGTACTAGGAAAGATAATAGCAAAACCTTTAACAAGTTGAAAGTACAGCCTCAGGAAGACTTTTGTGACCAGAGGCAGCTTACTCTGTACATTTGCCTTGTCTCTTTCTCCCTGCATTACTTTGTCAATCGAAGAAAATTCCACTTGCACTTTGTCAAATGAAGAAAATTCCACTTGCACTGAAGGAATGAATTCTTTGGCCTCCTCATCTGCAAGAGGCTCAGTAAAAGTAGAAATTATAGGTTATAGGTCTATTGTAACTTCCCAGGGAAGACTGGCTGCCAAGAGCTTGAGGCTTTTATGTAATTATTGGAGATATTCAGTCTCAGAATTTGTATTTAAATACAGAAGTAGCGGATGGGGAACTCTCAATAGTTTTGTTGCAATATTCAATTCTCTTCCCTTCCCTTCCCCAACTCTGTTCCATCACTGTTCCATCACAGTATTTCTGAAGCTATTTTCTGAAGATACTTGCTTAGTATTCACCTATTACATCAGCTGTAATGTATAGAATGTCAGTTGGATGGGAGAATGCGTGCGGTCGGTGGCAAAGACAGTAAGTCGCAGAGAATTAACGGAAATTAGAAAACAGGTGGAAGGGGAGTTAAAGTTTTGCTCTGACAAAAGTTTCCATTATTTTGCTGCTTTTCTTGCTGCAAAACAAGATGGAAATTATAAAACCAGAGTAACTACCACAAGGTGTGACTATCAATTAAATCAGTTCAGTGTGGCAAAACACTGGGGAGTGTCTGCTGGGTGCCTGCATGAGTATGGTGGAGAGTTCATCTTAGAGATAGAGCCGTGCTACCCGGGTTCAAGTTGCAGCTTCCCCTTTTACTGGCTGTGTGTTCTTGAGCAAGCTTAATCTTTCTGTGCCTAATTTTCCTCATGAATAAAATGCAGATAATAATAAGTGCCACATGAGTTTAGCAAAAGGGTATCTGCTACGTCACTGTTAGGAGGCAAACAATGCTTGACACTGAGAGTCAAAGATAAGCTGACGGGCTAGTGGGAAGACAGATTCATTGAATGTTTCCATGCGATAATTTTTAAAACTTCCAGATAAGAATTGTCTTTTGAGTCACTCATTTACTTTTGATTGGGATTGCTAAAGGCAGCCATGAGTTCCAAAATCGAGGTAGCCAGGCTTAAACCCACAAATTATATGTATTTTGTGATCAACTGTGTGACATTTGTGTGACTTCCATAAAGAGCCATGGCATGAGCTGAGTCAAGAGAGCCTGATTTTCTATGCGTCACATGAGTATGATAGGAAAAAATGCCAATTGTAATGATTTTTGTATTAGAGTAATGGAGAAAAGAGAACTCTGTCTTAATATCTGTCATGCGCTAAGCACACCTTCAAACAGTCTGCTTCCCTTTGCTCATTGAATCTCCCAATAATTCTGTGCTGCACATAGAAATAACCTCATATACAGATAAGGAAATTGAGGCTAAAAGAGATAAAATGACTTGCTGCTATGTGATGAGTAGGAAGCAAATGATCTCCCCTGATAAGAAGAAGTAAGTCTAGCAATGTTCAAAAAAAGTTTTCACAGACAAAGCTGTGACTAATAAGTGTTCAAATTCCCCAGCTTTCAAGACACTCTTCTTTCATATGGGCTAAGCTCTAATAGTATTTTGTTTTTATTTGCATCATGAGAAATTCAAAAGTAAAATATTGTTTTATGGCCAGTAGTTTTTTCTTTTAAGTCTCAGAAGATATAATTTGTCAATTCACAGAAACACCCATCCTCCAATATTCTTAAAGACAAAACAAAACAAAACAAAACAAAAAAACCTAGAGGCACTGCATTCTGAAATGTGTCAAATTTTGTCCTATCCTGTACTACATTCCACATTATTTACACATTATTTTTGTTGCTGAAAGTCTTCTCAGGCAACAAAACTCTTACAATAAATTTATCATGGGGCTGTTCACTTGTTTCTCAGACAAACCAAACTCAGAAAGGCTTTCCAAACTAAGTGTCAATCATTTTGCACAGGACAAAGCAGAAAGAAAACTGAAGGACAGAGACAATAGGACAGTTTTTATTTATTTATTTATTTTGCAGTAGGAGAGCATACCCAGAAAGTACAGAAAGAACCAGGTCTTCCAAACACTCCCAGGAAAGCCCTACACATTCTGAATATCATCTTCCTCTCTTACATCCACTAGGGGGCGCACTAAAATCTTATATTACTTTCCTGTAACACCTGAGTGGGATTTTTTTAATATTTTAAATGTATTTATTTATTTATATTTTACATTATTGTTCATTTTTGTACAATATTTGCTTTCTCCTCTCAGGTGTAGTCCTCGTAAAATTCCCACCACCAATTCACCTGAGCACCATCCCTTGTGTTCTTCCCTCCCCTGTTTGTTTTATTTTTTTATATATAAATTATTTTATTTTATATAATTCTTACATCATTTTTCATTTTTTCATAATGCATGCATTTTCATTTTGGTTATATTCCCCATACAATTTTCACCCCCTTATTCTGACCCTAATCCCTCTTCTCCTCCCCTAGCCCCTCGCTGTAGTGTCTCTGGTCTACAGCTGCTTGTTGATTTTGATTTTTACTTTATTGCAATTAGTCTTTTTCCTGGTCCCTTATTTAGGTTTTCTAAATTCCTGCTATGAGTGAGACCATCCGGTATTTTTCTTTTTCTTTCTGGCTTATTTCGCTGAGCATGATCCCTTCCGGCTCCATCCATGCTGCTGCAAATTGCATGAGTTTATCTTTTTTGATTGCTGAGTGATATTCCATTGTGTATATATATGCCACATCTTCTTGATCCAGTCACCTATCCTATTTTTGGGCATTTGGGTTGTTTCCATAGCTTAGCTATTGTAAATAGTGCTGCTATAAACATATGGGTACAGGTGCCCTTTTGAATTAATGTTTCTGTATCCTTTGGGTAAATACCTAGGAGTGGAGTTGCTGGATCATATGGAAGATCTATCTTTAGTAGGTTAAGAAATCTCCACACAGCTTTCCATAGTGGTTGGACCATTTTGCACTCCCACCAGCAACACCTGAGTGTTTCTTAACCTCTCCAAGCTTCATAACCATCATTAGAATGGGGGAGGAAGAGTTATAAGAACTAAATGTGACAATAGATGTAATGTTACTGACTCTGGAATAACCCAATAAATAATGATTTTTTTTTCCTTGTTACCCACTCAAATTAACAAACATTGGATAAAAATAAATGTATCTGGGAAGACCAGCTGGCTCCAGAGGTCTATACTTCTGGATTCATAGTTTGTCTCCTTGTGACTAAGGGCTTGTTGGTTCTGGGAGAAAAAGGATTCTGAATATTCACCCTCTGCAAATTGCTAACCTCATATCCAATGTTGCTGCTCCACTCTCAAATGCACCATAACCTCAGGATTAGAGAATATACACATTGCTACTTTGGGCCAGGAAGATGATTTGGGATTCCAACTAAGAAAGATGATACCCCCATACTATCAATTCACTGTCTTAGTTCATTAATACTCAATGTAAGGAGCATCACATCAGAGTAGAGGGAATACCAGTCTAGAAGTCAGGAGCTCTGGATTCTACTCTCAGCTCTTCTCTCTATCCCCAAGTGCTCTTAAACAAGTCGCTTCATGTCCCTGAACCTTAAGAGGAAAGGTTGAATTAATAATCTGTAAAATACCTACTAATTCTGTTATTTTGTGATGATATTCCATCCCACCAGAGCCAAGTGTAACTCAGGGGTGATGGATTACATACATTATTGAAAACCTTAGTTTTCAATTTTTTTTAAAGATTTATTTATTTCTTTATTTATACAAGCACTGGGTATACTCAAAAGTGCAGGAGGGTGAGAATTCACCAGAGCCAGAGAGGAGAACGGAATAGGCAGACTGACGAAATACACTGCTGAGGGGAGCAACGGGCGTGGCAGGAGAGGTCTGCACGCCATGTGGGACCCTCTCTGGCAGCCGGGGATCGAACTGGTGCTGCAGAGGCTGCGGGCAGCTTCGCAGCCCAGCGCTAAACTGCTGTGCCACTGGGGAGGCCCTCAATTTTTTTTTTAACAAAACTCATTACAGTGATGTATCGTTTAACATTTCAGTCACAATGTTCCACATACACAATCATCTTCCCAGTAGGTTATACTATATAGTCTAGGTGTGTAGGTGACTGTCCATTAGGTTTGTATAGTTACATTCTCTGTCATTTACAAGTGACAGAATCACCTAATGTATTTCTCAGAATATTTCACAGTCATTAAGTGCTGCATGACTGTGTACAGTTTTCAGTTGCCTCAGGACAGTAAGTGCCCAACTGGCTGAATATCTGTACTCCTCTTGGCTCATTGAGTGTTTTTGTTCCATGGTCCCTGCTAGACAAGGTAGGCCCATTTTCCAATTTAGTTAAGGAGACCATCTACCTGAGAGGTTTTTACATCTACCCCAAAACTTTTATACAAGCATAACTCATGGGATACCATATTTATTTGTCTAACTACCCACCCTCACATTCTCACTGATGTTTTCAGTTTTAAAATATGTGATATGGAAGAGGACATGCAAAAGCTTAGGTTTATGCCCTTTTCTGCCTCCTAGGAACCTTCATTTCTTGCAGATCTTTGATTACTAGATCACTGTGATCAGCAAGATGTCCACAGCAGACACTAGGCAAGTTCATTGGATCCAAGTGACTTGACATTTTATCCCTTCTTTCAGCACTTTACCATTGGTTTGAATGTGATTGCTGGGGTGTCTGTGAGGACAATAGCAAGGAGGTATTAAGGGCTGATTTGCGAGGTGTTATTTCCAGATAATACTCTGGTTCCTTAGTTGTCAGAGTGAAACTGAGGCCCCTTGGGTCCCTGGCAAGAATAAGGAGTTTTATGAGTTCAACTAATTCTTTTTTTTTTTTTAAGATTTATTTATTCATACAAGCACTGGGTACAGTCAGAAGCGCGGGAGGGTGAGAGAATTCACAAAAGCCAGAGCAGGGAGCAGAACAGGCGGAAGGACTGAAGTACACTGTTGAGGGGAGCAGCGGGCGGCAGGAGAGGTCTGCGCACCATGTGGGACCCTCACCCTGCGGCCAGGGATCGAACTGGTGCTGCAGAGGCTGCGGACAGCTTCGCAACCCAGCGCTCAACCGCTGCGCCGCCAAGGAGGCCCTCAACTAATTCTTGAGGGGATGACCTTACAGTAAGCATACATAGGGTAGGGGTGGGGAATTGTCCTACTTGTGGACTCACAGAAGAGACAGACAGGGAAGGATGGAGTGAGAGCTGAGAGAATGGTCTTTCCTAGCCAGCTTTTGCTTTAATTTATCCTGTTTTTTCTTCTACAACAAGAGGCATCTTTGTAAATAACAGTTCAAAACATCACAATTTCCAGAAACACTCACTTACTATAATCCACACAATATACCTGTGTCCAGCAGTGATGTACATTTGAGATGCTAACCTCCGTTCCTGCCAGCACACAAAGATGCCTTCTGGTAAAGTCTGAACGTGCCCCCAGAGGAGCCCTCTGCAACCAGCATTTATGTTGTGCTCTGACCATGGCTTAAGATCCAGTCTTGGGCCTTGTAGCTCTAGAAGTGCATGAGAAACCTGTAGTAATCAAGCTCCTGGAGACTGAAACATATAAATATAAAAACTGGGTGTTTATGGATTAATTTTCAGTGAGAAATGCAGCTGTTGGACCAACCAGAAGGCTTGAGTCAGCAGAAGGAACATTCTCTCCTGGTATGCTAATTATTTCGGAAGCCAAATTATAATCAGAAGGCCAAGTTAATCACTTAAAGTGAAAAATACAGGGCCTCACTGGTGTCGCAAGAGGTTGAGTCGCAGCACTATGAAGCTATCTGCAGCCACTGCAGCATAGCACAAGTTCGATCCTCGGCTGGCCAAGGATCTAAACCACATGGCAGAGCAGACCTCTCCTGTCTTGCCCACTGCTCACCTCAGCAGTGTATTTCAGTCAGTCCTCTTCTGTTCCCCACTCTCTCTCTGATGAATCCTCTCACCCTCCCACATCTCTGGCCTGTACCCCAGCTCTTGTATGCATAAATAAATAAATCTTAAAAAATAAAGTGGGGCCTCCCCTGGTAGCGCAGGCAGTTGAGCACAGTGCTGTGAAGCCGTCCGCAGCCTCTGCATGCTGGTTCAATCCCGGCCGACCGGCGAGGGTCCCACATGGCACAGCAGACCTCTCCTGTCTCGCCCGCTGCTCCCCTCAGCAGTGTATTTCAGTCAGTGTGCCTGCTCTGTTCCCCGCTCTGGCTCTGGTGAATCCTCTCACCCTCCTGCACATATGGCCTGTACACTGGTTCTTATGTAAATGAATAAATAAATCTTTAAAAATAATAATAAAATAAAATAAATAAAGTGAAAAATACAAATTTTAAATGAACCAAATATTGATATTAAACCAGCCTATCTTAACAGATAGGAAATCAAATTATTAGGTGATTGCTTAGGGAGCAGGGAACCAGAGAAAAGGGCACTTGCCAGTCCTAAAGTGTGTCTTTTAATCAGCAGTTTAAAGCTAACCCACAACCCGCGGAAGGAAAAACCTTGCCAAGAAAGCTGCAATGCTTGCGTCTGGTGAGCTCAGCCTTCCTCCCCTGCATGGGGCATGGATGGGCACTGCCTCTCTCACCATGGCAGTCTCCATTTTCAGTGCTTCTGTTTCCTGTAGCCCTTGTCCAAACAGGGTTACAATATAAATAATTAGATTTACGCTTTCTTTCTAGGATTGCTTCCAAATGATCTCAGTTGGAATTTCTGCAGTTCTAAAACTTGTTAGTCACATACTTATAAAGTGTTTCAGTTTCTAGCACAGATGGCTAATCTAATTCATTAAGTGTAGGTTTTACCAGTTTAGCATTTAAAAATGTTAATTTCATGAGCAGCGATGTACTTTCTGTATAAAAAGTTAAATGTGTGTGTGTGTTTCATCAATTTAGAAGTGGAGTCTCAAAGGCACCAAGTACCTGCCCTGGATCACACAGCAGGTGATTGGTAGAACTGGAACCCAAACCCAGATCATCTGAATTCAGAACCCATTCTTGTTCCACTGCATGTGACTGAGTGCTCCACTATTAGAAAGTTTTGTTTTGAAGCAAAAAAAAAGAAAACAAACCAAAACAAAACATGTGTTTTTAAAATTTAACATTTTAAAAATGTTAACATGTTTTATTCTAAATGGCAGAGGTGGGCAGACTTAAAAGAATGCAGTGGAAAAGATGTAAATAAGGAAATCACTCAGATGTAGCCACCTGCTGCAGGGGGTCATGAGGTCCAGGCACAGAGCATCCAGCCACCCTGTCACAGTACACAGTGATAGATGTGGTTTTTTTTTGCAGAATCTGAATGTATCAGAGGCAAGAGGAAAAATCCACTACTGGGTGAGCTTGCATGAAGTGACAGGAGGGAAAACCACACTACAGAACATCACAGAAAATACCTCCTGGACCTGGATTATTCCCAGAACTGGGAACTGGACTGTGACTGTATCTGCAGCTAACTCAAAAGGCAGTTCCCTGCCTACTCGTATTAACATAACGGACCTGTGTGGGGCAGGTAAGTACCATCATTTCTCTTATCTTGCCTTTGGGGAACTGTGTCTTACTCGTCTCCTGTCTCCCATAGGTCTAGCCCAGTGTCTGGCATGAATAGTATGGGAGTGTAGACCCTAGAGTCAACAACTTGCAGAGGCTTTTTCCATTGCACTAATGAGTGGCCGTGGACAGATGAATTAACACCTCTGAGCTTCAATCCCCTCCTCTCTAAAGTAGGGATTATATTACCTACTTTGCAGGTCATTATGAGATTAAATACAGAGAATAATACATAGCCAGTGCTTAATGTTTAGGAAATATGAGATACATTAAAATTAATACTAATAATCTGGCTAATTTTTCCAAAGGTAAGAATATGTACTGTCAACTTATAGTACAAACATTCTACACCCACAGTCAAAATACATTTTAAAACCAAGTGTTAAAATGGAATTCTGGCTGTAAAGAAATTACAGATCTTCCTTAATTTATAATAGAGTTACATCCCAGTAGGGTCTCCCTGGTGATGCAAGGGGTTAAGACGCAACCTATGAAACTATCCATAGCCACTGAAGCACGAGTTCGATCCCCAGCCAGGGAGCTTACCCACATGGCGCAGCAGACCTCTCCTGATTCGCCCTCATCAGTGTATTTCAGTTGATCTGCCTGTTCTGTTCCCCACTCTGTCTCTGGTGAATCCTCTCACCCTCCACACCTCTGGCCTAGACCCCAGTTCTTGTATGCAAAAATAAATAAATCTTTGAAAAAAAGGAGTTACATCCCAGTAAACCCACTTAGTTGAAAATACCATTAAGTCAAAAATACCCAAAATTGAAAAAGCATTCATCGATCTCATCTATTGAACATCACTGCTTAACCTAGCCTAACTTAAAATGCTCAGGACACTTATATTAGCTAACAATTGAGCAAAATCATCTAACACAAAGCCTATTTTGTAACAAAACATTGACTATCTCAGACACAAATGGGCACTTTGCAGACATGATGGGGAGCAAAAATACAATATCAGAAAATCGCTGGCTGCACAGTATACTGTAGAGTATCAGTTGCTTACCCTTGTGATGGAGTGGCTGACCAGAAGTTATGGCTCAAAGCCACTGCCCAACATCAGGAGAGTATCCAGCCACTTACTATTCGCTCAGGAAAAGAGCAAAAATTCAAAACTCAAGGTACAGTTTCTGTTAAATACATATTGCTCTTGCATCATACATTAAGTAGAAAAATCACTAAGTCAAACATCATAAGTTGAGGACTGCCTGTGTAGTAAAATTTTGCTTTACTGCAGATAGGTGTCCTGTTATTTACATTGAGAATTTCCCAACTAGCTATACATGCTTTGTAATTACATCCTCTGAAAACTATAATGTCTCAAGATAAAAAAGCCCATGCATGATTAGTTAAGAAAATAGCTATTTTTTTTTAAAGATTTATTTATTTATTTATACAAGCACTGAGTACAGTCAGAAGCGCAGGAGGGTGAGAGAATTCACCAGGGCCAGAGCGGGGAGCAGAGCAGGCAGAAGGACTGAAGTACACTGCTGAGGGAACAGCGGGTGACAGGAGAGGTCTGTGCGCCATGTGGGACCCTCCTCCGGTGGCCGAAGAGCAGCCGGGGATCCAACCGGCGCTGCAGAGGCTGTGGGCAGCTTTGCAACCCAGCGCTCAACCGCTGCGCCACCAGGAAGGCCCAAGAAAATAGCTATTAAAATTGTTCCTCAAGGGCTCTATTATAAATGGATTCCATGTCAAGATTATTAGCCTAACTTTAAAAATAAAAATTTCTAATAGAATAAAACTTTATAACTAGATCCCTTCCTTAAAATTCCATGCAACAATTTCATCTATTGTTGGTCTAGCAGTTATCATTCTGAAAAAGTTTCTAACCAAACTTTATTTTATACACACTGTTAAATATTTGTTCTGTATCTTTTTAGTCATAGATCTGAGATAACATAGTAAATGAAAAGAACGAGAAGAAAATACAAGTAAATACTGATAGAACCTTGGGGTGATATACGAATGAGGGATTTTTCTTAAGAGTAAGAGTTGCTGTTATTAGAGGTCTGACTACAGTGGCTTATTTATTCTTTCACATAAAAGAAGTTCAGACTTACATAGCCCACAGCTAGTGTGACAGCTTCATTACATTGTCAGGACTCCAAGCTCCTCCTTTCTGTTCCCTTTGCCAATCTTGGCTTCCCTCCTCAAGATGGAAATGGTCCAAGATGACTGCTGAAGCTCTAGCCGTTTCCTTCCAGGCAGAAAAAAAAAAAAAAAAAAAAGAAGGAAGGAAGAAAGTTTCACCCTTCACTCTTGAGGCTCTTTGCCCCAGGTAACAACATTTCAGTCATCATTAATCCTTACTGGTCACCTTCTCATATCCAGCTGCAAAGATGGCCCAGAATAGGCAGCAGTGTTCCCTTGAAGGTGAAGATAGGTTATTTGGTTGACAGCTGACAATCTTTGCCTCATGTAGGAAGGCACCTAAAGCAGAAACTGGAAGGAAACAGTAGATTCGCTATGAAAAAAATACATTTATGCCCAAATCATGTTTAATCTACACCGCACCCACTCATTCCTTCCCCCAGTCTTGAGTCATTGTAAACAAATCCCAGATATGATGTCAAATATTTTGTAGATATGAATTTCTCTTTAAAACAAAACACTATTATTATCTCATCTAGCAAGTTAATTAAAATTCCTTAATATAATCAAATGTATTCAATATTTAAATACCTCTGCTTATCAGTGTACTTTATTTGCATCATGATTAAAATAAATTACATACTGGATAATAAAAAAATACATTTATGTATAGTAAAATAAATATTTTTAAAACATGAGAAACCAAATTAGAAGAGACAGGTTAGTTATAGCCAGGTGAGAAATACAGAAATATAATAAACCTTCAAAATGCAAGTAGCATTTTGAAAAAAGTATGTTTCACATTTTTTTTTGCAAAAAAAAGAATCAATTATTCTATAAGCTGTCTAACATTTTTAAATAAATAAGAGATGAGGTGACATGAACAGGCAACTCAAAGAATAAATATAAAAGTAATAAAGATATGAAATATAGGGCCTCCCCAGTGGCACAGTGGTTGAGCGCTGGGTTGCGAAGCTGCCCGCAGCTTCTACAATGCTGGTTCGATCCCCGGCCACCAGACAAGGGTCCCACATGGCACGCAGACCTCTCCTGCCACCCGCTGCTCCCCTCAGCAGTGTACTTCATCAGTCAGTCTGCTCTGCTCTGCTCTCCTCTCCCCTGTGCCTCTGGTGAATTTTCTCACCCTCCTGCGCTTCTGACTGTACCCAGTGCTTGTATAAATAAATAAAATAAAATCTTTTTTAAAAAAAAAGATATGAAATATATTAATCCTAATTATCAATCAATGGGATGTGAATTTTTAAAAAACACGAGAAACCAAATTAGAAGAGACAGGTTAGTTATGGCCAGGTGAGAAATACAGGTGTTCAGTGAGAGGATTTGTTTTAAAGTGAGAGGTACATGGGTATATAAGTTGAAAAAAAAAGAGGGGCATGGAGAAGAAGGTTGAAGATGAAGAAGAAAATAAGACTAATTCATGGAGGGATATCCCTGGGGAGCTGGAAAAGATGGGATCAAGAGACAAAAGGAGATAAAAGGAACATGTCTTTCTCTCAGAATGGACAGGTGTTAAATAGAGCTGAAGCTCCTTAAGGAGGAACATGTAGGGGAGGTAAGATAGGGCATTAAAAAAGCTCTCTACAGCTAAGTGGTAACTAAGAGGGTCCTGCACCTGAGAATCGTGGAGTCACAGAGCTTATTGTCTTTCCTAAAGCCACATACAAACCGCCCAGTACAAGTAGTTGTACACCCCCAAGTAACCTGGAGGCCAAACTGGCAAGCCAGTTGTCCCAACCTGGACACTCATCTCACACTTATTCTGAATGACCTGCAGGAATAGCATGGCATGATTGTGTGTCTGTGTCTCTTTCAGTGTATGTTCACACTACTCACATGGACACATAACAATGCCCCAACTGAAAGAATGATTTTGAGAAAATAGGGACAACGTGATTATAAAAGGCACCTGCCACAGCATTGCCTATCAGAAAGCACAAGAATTACTGTGTTGATTTGTTATGAAAGCTGAATATGTATTAAACCCACCATCAACAAGTAAAACATATTTGATATTTCAGACCAGTCCCTGTGCTCAAAATTCTTAAAACTACAGGAAGAGGCAGAAGTCGTCCAGCCCTACAGAGACCCACAGAGATGTTAGGGACTGAGGCCCCAGTAGGTAAAATAACTTAGCCAAATCTTATATCCAATTAGTAGCAGAGCTGGACTGAAAAATCAGGCCATCTGTCTCTTTGGTGGGCACTTGTGCCTGGTACCTTATGAACTTCATACCTTTATTCAGAGGCTCTCGGTGAAATGGAGATGAGACACTGAATGATGACGAGAAAAGGAATAATTTTGAAAGGTGACAGAAAGCGGTGAGCTGTGAGCTGAGTTCTGAAGAAGAGAACATGCCCTGGCAAACATCGTGGGGGAGGAAATCCAGGCTGGTTCCTGGCAAGTATAGTGACTCAGAGGTGGGAAAATGCCAAGCTGATTTGCTTAGCTCATTCCACAGAGAGCAGTGGTTAAAAAGGGCATTTTTGTAATTTTAACCCATCACCTGGCAAAGGGTCTTGTGAACCAAGGTGTTCAATAAATATTTACTGAATGACTAAATTTATTCCTTAAAATAAATAATAAGCACATGTATACATATATAAATGAACAAATAAACAAATGCCATGCCATAGCCAAGACATCAAATGTCAAGGCAGATGAAGACAAAGGAATTACTGCTGGGAATCCCAGTTCCTGACCCAGTTGCGAATACACAGGTTACAGGATCTCACCACTAAACCCGACCCTGAGAGATAGGATGGCAATGGCTAAGCCCCTGTGCAGTGGGGAATGGTGATGAAGGCAGAGGGCTGAGGTACACTTCATGGTTGCATTCCTTTTTGTTGCCCTGATATGATCATTTTGCGTTGCCCTGATATGATCATTGCTGGGCATTTCTATTATGGAGCAAAAACTCTGAAGAGCAGGGCACAGTAACTTCAAGGACACCCTAGAACCTACCTGGGGAGAGCAGCAACAGTGGGCAATATAAGCTGCCAGAGATTTGTTCCTGCCATTTACCCCATGGACCGGGCAATTACAAATCAGAGTCATAGTCCCACTCCCCATAAAGAGCAGTGCCAGCATAAAGCACAGGTAGTTTCTGAAGGAGCCTAGGGTATGCCTAAGGGTAATCTGGGCACAGATAGTGGTCATCTATCTTGAAAAGTTGCTCCTCCCCACCTAAACTTATGTGGAAGCGCATGAGCTACAGCTAAGTGATAGAAAAATAAAGGTAATAGGGTAAATTCATTAGAAACAGAAGTAAGTAATAAAGATAAGGACAAAAATAAATAAAATAAGCAATATCGGGCCTCCCTGGTGGCTCAAGGGGTTGAGATGCAGCCTATGAAGCTATCTGCAGCCGCTGCAGCAAGAGTTTGATCCCCAGCTGGGGAGCTACCCACATGGTGCAGCAGACCTCTCCTAACTTGCCCGCTGCTCCCCTCAGCAGTGTATTTCAGTCAATCAGCCTGTTCTGCTCCCCGCTCTGTCTCTGGTGAATCCTCTCACCCTCCCGCGCCTGTGGCCTGTACCCCAGCTCTTGTATAAAAATAAATAAATCTTTAAATATATATATATATTCTAAAAAATATAAATAGATGGAAAATATACACATAAAAAGATGCACAATATCATACATGGTTAGGGAGCTGCAAGTTCAGACAATGAGGTGCCAGTACAGACTATCACAATGGTCAAAATTCACAGTACTGAAAATGCCAAATGTGAACACAAATGGAAAGTGAAATGGGAAGATGAAAGGTAAAATAAGGGCCTCCCCGGTGGCGCAGCGGTTGAGTGCTGGGTTGCAAAGCTGCCCGCGGCCTCTGCGGCGCCGGTTCGATCCCCGGCTGCCCCCGGACACCAGAGGAGGGTCCCACATGGCGCGCAGACCTCTCCTGCCGCCCGCTGCTCCCCTCAGCAGTGTACTTCGGTCCTTCTGCCTGCTCTGCTCCCCGCTCTGGCTCTGGTGAATCCTCTCACCCTCCCGCGCTTCTGACTGTACCCAGTGCGTGTACAAACAAACAAACAAATAAATAAATAAATATACATGCCTCTTTAAAAAAAAAAAAGGGTAAAATAATTCCGCATACCATATTACACAGGGTCTTTGCACAAGTCATTGATTCCAGAACTAAGAAGCAGGATGAACATAAATCTGTAAACTTGAAGTCCTTAAAAAGAATTTTTTTCCTCACACCTTCCCGGGATGGGTTCTTTCTTATATCTTCTTATCCACTGTCATTTTGTTTTTGTCCCTCCCTTTTTTTTCCCTTAAAGAGTTGCTGGCACCTCACCAGGTCTCTGCAAGCCCAGAGGGCCTGGACAACATCATGGTGAGCTGGGAGCCTCCTGCCAAAACTGCCCCTGCTGTCCAGGAGTACGTGGTGGAATGGAGGGAGCTTCATCCCGGAGGGAGCACAGAATCCCCTCTAAACTGGCTGCGGAGTCCCCCCTATAACATGTCAACTCTCATTTCAGGTACTTAATTGTTCACCTTCTTTCTGGAGGGTTGCTAAGTTGACACTTGCTTGAGAAACTTGCAGAACCTTAACTTCAATTACAGGTGGCAATATGGGATAAGGGACTCTGATAATCTAGGTTCCATCAGAACAGCACCTCAGAATATACCACTGTGTATTCTTGAAAGCTGTGGAAGAACACCGGTTTACTAAATAGTCTAGTATTTATGAAAAATCCATGCACCTGGCACATTCACTTATATTGATGAATGTATTATTGAACCAAACAAGCATAGCAGAGAGTTAAGTAGTAACCAGTCAGTGTGGTAGGACCTGCCATTTAAGAGTTTTCTTAATTTTAAGAACTATCATGTGGGGCAAAAGTTACTATGTCCATTGTACATATGAGGAAACCAAGAGACTCTTTCATTCCTAATTCTACTTATTATTTGTGTGGCCAGAAATCCAGAATTATCTATATGATCACTGGAGTCTCTAATCCTCAAATTCCAAATCTGTCAGAGGTTATGATTTAGTTGATGGAAAGCATCTAAAAATGTATTAAAACGATTGGACACATCTTCAGAAGTAATTGCTAGCAGTGGCTTTTCAATGATGAGAGGCTATCAAAACTGTTATTTTGATCTTTTGAGAAACAGTGAAAGCTCTAATTTGGAACACTTTAAGTTGCCAGAGTGACCGACACAAAGGGAAAGAGGAGAGACACCCCTGTATATTCTCTAAGCCTTTTAGAAAACATGAAGTTGCTCCTTTGGCCACATACACACAAATCATAAGAAAGAAAGGTGATACTGCAGACAGCAAGCAGATGGACACTGTTCAAGAAGCAATGCCCAACAAATGTTGCCATGGCAAAAGTGGAATAATCTATGATGTTACCCAGCCTGCAGTTAGCATTGTTGTGAACAAATACATAAAAGGCAAGATTCTTGCCAAGAGAATTAATGTTCCTATTGAGTATATTAAATCCTGTAAGAGCCGAGATAGCTTCCTGAAATGTGTGAAAAGAAAATGATCAGAAAGAGAAAGGAAGTCAAAGATATAGGTACTTGGATTCTGCTGGAGCTCCAGCCTGTTCCCTCATAGAAGCACACTTTGTGAAAACCAATGGAAAGGCGCTTGAGCTGCTGGAACCCATTCCCTGTGAATTCAGGGCATGAGAGGTATGAGAAGAAAAAAAGACCTCCAGACTATTAAAAAAAAAAAAAACTGGGCAAAATTAAGTCAATGTCCATTTGAAATGTTAAGTTCAGCAAAGTGGTTAAAATTACTGGTCCCATAGCCAGGCTATCTGGGTTTGAGTCCTGCTGCTGTCATTAGTTTGTGTGACCTAGAGTAAGCCGTTTAACTCTCCTGCCTTCTCATTTTCCTTATCTGTAAGATGGGGGTGATTATGTTGCCTACCTCTCTGGGCTATTGTGAAAACTAACAGTGTAGGGGAGATGCTTGAACAATCCTTGGCACATGTTAATTGTGTGCTAATTTAGCTGTCATTTTTATTATATTGATATGTGACAGAGCTAAGATTTTAATAGGCTTTCAAGCTCTAAATTCCATATTTGCATGACAGCTTGACAGTCATTGCATCTGTCCAGGAGGATACACGCCTTGCTTTATGAAAATGAGATAAACAGCACACAACACGAGAACACATGAGGTGGTCCTTAACTATGTCTCTTTTGTAGTCTAGCTGCTCAGGCTTTTAGTGGGTTGTGTTTAGTTTTAGCCCCTGCACTTAAAGGGAACACTGCCTAGATAACCCAGCCAGCAGCAAAGTTATCTGACCCTTTTAATTTGGAAACCATTTTGCCCACAGAAGAGAACTCTAGATGGGAGTGGGGTGGCAGGATGACTGCTGCTGGCGTTGATATGTACATGAGGAAGAGTATGTGTCCTTCCTTGTTCTGGAGAGCAAAAGTAAGGCCCTGCACTGGGTTGCGAAGCTGCCCGCAGCCTCTGCGACGCCGGTTCGATCCCCGGCTGCTCCCCGGCCACCGGAGGAGGGTCCCACATGGCGCGCAGACCTCTCCTGCCGCCCGCTGCTCCCCTCAGCAGTGTACTTCGGTCCTTCTGCCTGCTCTGCTCCCCGCTCTGGCTCTGGTGAATTCTCTCACCCTCCCGCGCTTCTGACTGTACCCAGTGCTTGTATAAAATAAATAAATATAATAAATAATAAATAAGCACAGAACTTACTCTTCTCAAAAAAAAAAAAAAAAAAGTAAGGCCCTGTGTGGAAATTATAAGAAAGTAGGTGACAACTCAGTTTTTAGAAGGAACTTTCCTTACATTGGAGAGTCTCTAATAGAACAACTGATTTCCCTTCAGGGCAATGTGTTCCCTGTCCTTAGAGTTGTTTCAGTAGAACCAGTTTTCCTTTAGGGCTGTCAAGCCATCAAGTCAGATGAAATAGTGGCTAGAAAAGGCATTTACTGAACTCCAAACTGCTAAAAAAAATTGTTAACAATTATTTTAAACTGTATTAGGACTTAACATATGGCATAGTTTGAACCATGTAGTCCTTAAAGTTCCTTCCCTTTTAAAAACCTTTTATTTCCACACAAATACTGTAAAACAGATGACGAGAGGATGTTCTCCATACTTAAGAAACTAGAACGCTTTCAAGCACTTTAGAAATATTCATATTTTAATAAAATCAATATAACACTGGGTAAAATAACTTTATTAGTGGAAGTTGTTCTCCTTTGTGAAAACACTTGGTTAACTATTTGTTTGGGTTGGAAATTTAGTAATTCGTAATTATCACGAATTCAGAATGAAACTCCCCAGGCAGTAAGAGGACGCACTGCAACCCGGTCCTCAGCATCTGGCCTGGGTGGAGCTGGGTGTTTGGGAGTGGGTCTCAATGCAGCCAGCTCCTGGATTTTAGGTTTGGTGGGATTTAGCTAGGGACCATCAGTCCAGTTCTAGCTGGGTAAAGATGGTTCTGCCCTTACAGAGCCACTTCTCTCACAAGTATGTAGACATCATGTGTTTAGGAAACCTTCCCTGATGTCCCCGTTGCACTTCCTTTGTGATCGCTCCTCATTAGCAATCATTTAATGTTTGCCTTCTCCTAAACTAGTAGGTGAAATTACCACCCTGAGGAAAAAACACTTAAGAGATGATTTATAAACCCAGAGACAGGGCCTGTGCTCAGTGGCACCAGGTATAGATGTATGCACAGGAATAGAGGGGAATAGGCCTGGAAGTTGGGGTCAAACTGCAGAAAAGAAATGAAAATCTTTGGCTTGTGGGCCACAGGGCTAAGGAACTGTTGAAATGGTTCCAAACATGGTTAGGGAGTTTTCATAGAGGATTAATCAAGCAGAGTCCTTGAAGTCTGAACCAGTAAACAAGCTCGCCAGAGTTCTACTCGTCCTGGAAAGGGAAATGTTCACTGATTTATGGAGCCATCTTGTCTTCTCTCCCCCCTGTATGGTTAGCCCCCCAAGTAAGCAATGTGGCATTTCCCAAAGCCTCTGCCCTGAACTTATATTTTGCATAGCAGAATGCAATGAAGTCTTTTGCCTGATAAGCTCATCTGGAACTCCATGTCTCCACGTGACACAGTACTTGGAAGTCACTTCCACTACTACAGGCAGAGCAGCCAGGCAGTTAGGCCCTTCCAAATGAACTATGATTCCATAGTCCATGTTGCCTTTGACCTTCTGGATCTGGATGCCACTCACAAAGAACCTCTGTGTTATTGGATTAAGCTAACAGCATCCTTTTCTCCATTTCACTTGATTCACAAATACGAGTTGGAACTCACTCAAGGTGTGTTTTCATTTCATGGTCTCTTCTGACAGTACTGGTTGTACAGCTGAGCTTCACATGCTACTTACTTGCTGGAATATTTAAGGACAATGGACTTTCATATAATAAATCACACAGTATTTAGTAAATTACTCTGATGTAAAATTCCGCTTCCCAAAAAGGAAAATGTTAATCAGTTGTCAGTGTAGGGGATCAGATTTACCTAAGACAGGGCATTAACCAATATGGAGAGAGTCCTTGCTTGATCACATGATGATTTATCAAAGCTATCTAGTGAGGATTCTCTCTTCTTTTCCTTGGGAATTTAAAGATATGTCAAGGGCAGAACCTAAGAGAGGGGTCTTTTCTTTACAGGAAGTAGATGTCTGAGATATAGGGAAATAAGGTGTTTTGGCAGGGAAGAGTGACTTGCCAGTAAACCTCATGACTGGATAAAATTGCGAAGTGTGATGTTTTAAAAACTGGGAAGGTGCACTGACATCCCCAGGTAGCTTCCAAACCTTCCAGGCTATGATGTAACTAGGATCTAATTGGAACATGATGCGGGGAGGAGTGAAACATGGGAAGGAACAAAGGGTCAGACTGCACTGAGCTTGCCCTGGTTAGTCATGCCCAAATGTGTCATTCAGCAATGCCCTGTCAGATCCCGATAAGCATCTGGGATGAGCAGATCAAGTTCTATGCCTGCAAACAAAAGCCTCACCTTTCTGTAAACAGCAAATGATGTATTTGTAAAAGTCAGTCTTTTTCTTAAAGGTAAGTTTTGTTTCAAAAGCAGTCTTTGTGGTTACATTTAAATCCTTGTTGGAACTGATACAGCTTTTGTCTCCTTACTCATGATGACCCTGGAAAGAAACAGGTTTGCTTATTTGTTCACTTCATACCCATTCGTGGTTGCGAGCAATGGCTTCCAGAAAGTCAGTGGCATAGCAAATAAGATGCTGAGATTTTTATAATTTATAAAGGTCACCCCTTTGCCCTCAGTCAAGACTGTACCATCTTCAAGCTAAAAAAGAGACAAGAACCTTAAATGCATCCATAGCGGATATTAAAATGGCTTGCTTTAGTGACTCACCTCTGATACCACACTATTTAAGAATTACCTGTTCCTTACAGAAAACATAAAGCCCTACATCTGTTATGAATTCCATGTGTACGCGCTGTCGGGGGACCAGGGAGGATGCAGCTCCATTAGGGGTGATGCTAAGCACAAAGGTGAGTCTTGGGTCCTCCTGCCAAATTTTGCTTAAGTCTACTGATTTGGATTTGGAGGGTGATAAAAGCCTCGTCTGTTCCACCGACAGCACCACTGAATGGCCCTCACATTAATGCCATCACAGCGGAAAAGGGAGGCGTTTTGATTTCATGGCATGGAATTCCTGCTCAGGAGCAAATGGGCTGCATCCTTCGTTACAGGATATACTGGAGGGAACAGAACTCTGATTCCCAGACTCACCTCTGTGGTATGTGTGAAAAACAAATGCAGTGGGGTCTTTTCTGTTTAGCTGTCAGGCGTGTGTTTGCATGCATAAACGCTAGCACCTGGGACTGGCACTTATTAGGTGCTTGATCAATGTTTGTGAAATTAGTTGAAAAATAAAAGACTTCCAACCACACACACAAAGCTGTTGAATATACATTATGTGCCAAACAAACTGAAGAAATGAAGATAATGGACTAGACTGTCAAGGAACATACTCATATAGACAGCATTTCAAAAAGCAAATAAAAGCATTTCAATGCTATATAGACCCTGGAGTTTTGTAAGAAATGCATTTAAAGCCCCACATTTGCCAATACCATGATAGCATATTTTCTCCTTTAGGTGAATAAAATGCAGTATCATTTAAGTAACCTTTTATGACCCGTAATTATTCTATTATAAGACTAAAGCAATTAAATTCTGATGAAAGCATTATCTGAAATTATTTCGTGGATGATTTCTTCATGAAGTAACTCCAGGTCACTTGCAGCGTTGATGTTCTATTCTTTGATTTATTCAGTTTTTTGGGTTCCCCTCTGTGCCCACCTGGATTGATAACTTTATTTCCTAGGCATCTGGCTTTATTTCAGGAGCATTTATTATAAAAAAGCAACATTCCTTCATGAGAACAGTTAGGTCTGAGAATAATGTTACAATGTCCCCCTGAGATGTGGGTGCCAGAGAGCAGCCTGCTAGAGTGCTTTTTTCCTCAGAACCTTTAGGAGTTGGTCCTCTCTCTTCATCTTATATAAGCTACAATACTGATTCTCTGAAAGTTATGACTTTGAAAACTAGTTAATTTCTTATTATAAATAATAATTATACATGGTAAAAACATTCAGCTAGTTCAGAAAGATATAAAATGGAAATTATCCTTTCCTCCATACTTAGGCTGCTAGCAGGTCTTCATGTGTTCTTCCAGAAAAAAACTTTTTAATGCTTATATAGCATATATTTGGGTTCTTCTCATATATTTTCATGTGTCTTTTAATAATACATATTGGAAGTGTTCATATGAATTTGCCTTATTCTTTAACAATTCTATAGTATTCCCTTATGAAACCTTATAATCATTCACTTAACTAATCTACCTTTGATAAATAGAATATGTCATTCAACAGAACTGCTTCTCACTGACCTGTCAGGGTACATCAGTTTGGAAATGCATCCCAAAAGGTGGAGAATTAGTTGACCTTTTCATGGGCCATTTGGGGTTTTTCACATGATACTTGGTACCCCCCAAATTTTCTTTTTGGCCTAGTCTAAACCTACATGCTTATTTATAACCAGAAAGATCAATCTGTTTAGATGGTAGAGCAGTTTCAAGATGCTCTTGCAGTTGTTGAAAAAAATACCTACTTTATTTTACAATAAATATGGTAAGGCTAAAGTCTATGTAAAGGTATTTTAAAACAAAATAGGAGGGCACAGATTTAAATTCCTAATTTGTAGAGTTTATATTAAATTGCCCTGTTTTTCATTAAGTTCTTATTGATAAATGAAACCTGTTCCCTATCTTCTGAGAGTTCAGCCTACTGAAGGAGATGGAAAAGGACCCAAAAGCTGTAACCAAGGACTGACAGGCACCTATTGCGTTGGCAACCAGAAATCGCTAGCAAATTCACAAGAGTAGTTTCTGGAAAGAGGTAGAGGGCAGTATGTTGAGGAGAAGGAAGAAAGGCACCAGAAGAGAGGGGTGCCACAACAGCAGAAGGAGAATGGAGTTCTGAGGAGGGAATCCCATTTCACCTCTCTTGGCACTGTCCGCCAGGTACATGCAGAGTGCAACAGGAACCATAAGGAAGGGCATGGCCAGGACAGGAAAGAAGAGGTGTACAACTGGGATAGGGCCCAGGCATCTGCATTCCAGTACGTTTGGCAGGTGATTCCAGTGTGTAGTCACTGCTAGGAATCGTGTTGCTGCTGCCATGTACAATGGCAAGCATGCTCTTCCTCTGACCTACACGTTATACTTTGTTTCTTCTTGGCTCCCTTTGCCAACAGACTTTAAGCATCATGAGAGCAGAAGCCAAGGCAGTTTGCTTGCCTTTGTCTCTCCTGTATCTATAAGACAGTCAGACACACAGTTGGTGCTTAATAAAAATAAGTATTTCTTGAACAGCACATGGGTGAATACTGCCCTACATTTTATTAAACCAATGCAGATTGTTAAGTAAAAACTAACTTAAAGTAACAATGCAGATATTTTGCCTGGTACATTTTGACCTTACCTGCAGCCTTTCCTTTGATTGGCAACTATCAAGTCTTCCTCAGCTAGTATCTTTGTCATTTACCTTGTGTCTGATGTTTCAGATGCCAGGGTTGAATGTCCTCCTTTATCTCTGCTAGAGATCTTGGCCTAGACCTAGGCAGCAGAACTAGTATTTCCTGCATGACTTGATTTCTTGTTCCCATTACTCAACCTGTTTTGCCAAAACTGCTGACACCATCACCCTCTTTACTGCTCCTACTCCCCCCATAGCTTTTATTTTTATCCATCAAATACATATGTGTATGTGTGTATATGTCAACTTGTTCAGCCCAGCACACTATTCAAGTCCTTACCTTTAGTTCCGTAATCTCATTTCACCCCCAGAGCTGAAGATGCCCTCACAAGTTGGATGTTTGACTCCCTGAGGCTTGCTGATGTTTTGCTGCAGAAAGTTGAGCAGAAGGTCTCTTCAAAAATGAATTTTTTTAATTCTCTGCCTTAGGAAGAAGGCAAAGATACTTTTGAGTTTAATTATATAGCCTAAGTCCATGCAAGCAAGCAATTTCATCAGGTTAGAGTAAGACTGGAAATTTTCCACATGGTATTTTTTTCTCAACAGGATATAAAATATAGAAATTGCTATGACAGTTGCAGCTGTTAAATTATGTGCCCAGGCCTCAGTGACCTTGGGTGGAATAGATGTAGTATGACAAGGCTCTGTCTTATTGGTCACCCAACAAGACAGGGTGGGAGTATGTAAAGGGTCTGTTTTTTCCTGCTAGATGGTGAACACTTTGAGGCAGATTCTATGCCTTGTATATACTTATTGCCTTGCCCAGAGCAGATACTCAGTAAATATTTGTGACTGTCTAAATAAATTCAGCATATGGTTAGCATCATCTGACTTGCCTTGGGGTTTGGGGGCCAGTAAATGATGTTGAGGCATAAGGCTAAGTTTCTAGTTTCTGCATAGATCACCAGTATGGGTGCAGATGTGACAAGTAAGCCAGCAAGCTACCCTTGCCAAAATTCTGGCTTTGACTTTACAGTCCTCCGCATCTTTTTTTGTTGTTGTTGTTAAAGATTTATTTATTTATGCATACAAGAACTGGGATATAGGCCAGAGGTGTGAGGGGTGAGAGGATTCACCAGAGACAGAGTGGGGAACACAACAGGCAGATTGACCGAAGTACACTGCTGAGGGGAGCAGCGCACGAGTCAGAAGAGGTCTGTTGAGCCATGTGGGTTGCTCCCTGGCTGGCCTGGTGATCCAACTTGTGCTGCAGAGGCTGCAGACAGCTACATAGGTTGCATCTTAACCCCTTGCACCACCAGGGAGGCCCCCTCCCCATTTTTTGAGGGTCACTTCAAAACACAGCCAGCAAATCACTTAGGGAGAAGATTGCCTATTTACTGGCTACCATCACTAATACTTCTCAGAGGAGAAAAACAGTAAAATCTTCCTTCTAAGGACCTAGAAGGGGTGTTAAAAGTATATAGAACTGATATATTAGGCTTCAGCTGCCAAAATTAAATACCGTTGCTCTAATTTCTAGATTTTATGTCAATTTGAAGCAGATATCATATATTAAGCTCAGTATCCAGAGCCAACAAAAAAATGGAAAAATGAAATGAATACATGTTACTTAAATGTCTACTTCATTAACTGCTCAATTCAACTTTCTTAAAAATTCCATTGGAAACAATTTGTATCTTGAGTTTCCTCCCCAGGAGTTCTCAAATATATATGATAAATGCTGGGAACAGAGTTATCAGAAATAAAAGGAGTAACCACAGCTAAAGAATTTCAAAGCAAAATGATAAAAAATAATTCTTTCAAAGGAATTTACCACAGAAAAAAATACTTAATTCCTTTGATGGACTGTGAAGTGAGGATTCCATAAATTCCATAAACAATGACAGGGATTGTTAAAGTACTAAGTACTAATGAATTAAGACTATCTTAAATCAGCAATGTGCTTTTCTATTTCAAATTAAAGGTATCATTAACAAAAATGAATAAAAGCCCATATCCAAATATTTCCTATAATACATGCCTCACTTCCTTTCTCTTCCTTTCAGAAATTCCCTACAGGGCATCCCCAAATTCACATCACATAACTAGCCTGCAACCCAGAGTGACATACATCCTGTGGATGACAGCTCTGACAGCTGCTGGTGAAAGCCCCCAAGGAAATGAAAGGGAATTTTGTCTGCAAGGTAAGAAACAACTTTTAAAATGGTGAGTCCCCCCTGGATTCCTACAGGGACAGATATCCCACTACATTTGGCACAGAGATGATCAGATTGTCTTTAATCCACTCAATGGTACCTTGGTCATGACATTTTGGTCAACCACAAATACGACACAAGTACAACAAAAAAAACCACACATATGACAGTGGTCCCAATGGGCTCCACCATCTAGCCTTGGTGTGTAATAACTGTACTTCCTAGGTTTATGTGATCCCTCTCTGTGACGTCTACACAATGAAGTCGCCTCATGGCGCATTTCTCTGAATTGTGATGCATAACTTACCACCTCTTTGCTGTTACACCTTTGCACTTGCTGTTTCCCCTGAGTGGAGTACCCTACCATTTCACTGTGTGTTTGTAGACAGTGTATACTCATCTTTCAAAACTCAGGGTACAGGTTTCCTTCCTAGGAAGCCTTCCCAAGAGCACCGCTAAATCTCCTTCATAAAGCACTATATCTGACTGCTTCCTATTCAAAATTCTGAGTCCAATAAGTGGGGACTAATAATCTGTTTTTCTCTATCTTTATGGTCTAGAATGGTTCTTAGCACCTAGTACTTGTTCATTAAATATCAGTTCAGTGAATGATGAGAATTATCTCAATAATAACAATACAGGTGTTGCTTATCAGCTAGTTATCACAGATCAGTCACTGTTAAGCCTTCAGCATACTCTTAGTTTGCTGAATCTGCTATAATAAAATACCACAAACTGAGTAACTTAGGCAACATAAATTTATTTTCTCACAGTTTTAGAAGCTGGAAATGAGTTCAGGGTATCAGCAGAGTTGGTTCCTTCTGAGGGCTGTGAGAATCTGATCCACGCCCCTCTCCTTTCTTTTGATGCTTTGCTGGCAATGTCAATGCTGGGCATTCTTTGGCTTGCAAATCTCAGCCTTCATCTTCACACTAAGTTTTCCTTTTGTGTGTCTCTGTCAAATGTCCCCTTTTTACAAAGAACCAGTCATAATGGATTACTCTAGTCTGTTTTTTTTTTTTATTTGTTTGTTTTGTTTATACATGCACTGGGTACAGTCAGAAGCGCGGGAGGGTGAGAGAATTCGCCAGAGCCAGAGCGGGGAGCAGAGCAGGCAGAAGGACCGAAGCACACTGCTGAGGGGAGCAGCGGGCGGCAGGAGAGGTCTGCGTGCCATGTGGGACCCTCCTCTGGTGGCCGGGGAGCAGCCGGGGATCGAACCAGCGCCGCAGAGGCCGCGCGCAGCTTCGCAACCCAGCGCTCAACCACTGCGCCACCGGGGAGGCCCTAGTCTGTTTTTTTTTTAAGATTTATTTATGCATACAAGAACTGGGGTACAGGCCAGAGGTGTGGGGGTTGGTAAGCGCATTCACCAGAGACAGAGTGGGGAGCAGAACAGGCAGACTGACTGAAATACACTGCTGAGGGGAGCAGCAGGCGAGACAGGAGAGGTCTGCTTCGCCATGTGGGTATCTCTCTGGCCGGCCGGGGATCAAATTCGTGCTGCAGAGGCTGCGGATTGCTTCAAAGTGCTGTGCTTAACCCCTTGTGCCACCAGGGAGGCCCGGATTACTCTAGTCTGAACTAATCTTAACTAATTACTTCTGCAATGACCCTGTTTCCAAATAAGATCACTTTCTGGTGGAATGGGATGGCAGAGGGTAGAACTTCAAAATGTGAATTTTGTGGATGGGAAGACACAATTGAACTCACATAACATGCAGTTTTACTCATTTAATCTTGACCTCAAATCATGTAAAGAACCTGCTTTATGCGATTTTACTGAGCTACACTGCCAGGCACTCCATATGAAATAAATTAGGAATGAGTTATTAGAATGCCCTCTGAGGTACAAAATGATCATCCAAGGTTATGGAGGTTGTAAACAGCAGAACTACAAATCAAATTCAGATTTGAGATATACGTATATGAGTAAGAACCCAGCTAACATGGCTTTCCCTCCACCAGCTAAGTACACCATTCTCTCTGGCAGTGCTCATTTGCATCTGCTGCAGGCATTATACAAGCTGTTCTTGCTTTGCGACATAGAATCTCAAGTTAATCATTTAGGACTTTGGTATCCTCTGCTAGGTATGTCCCACTGGAAAAAATTGATAAGCCCTTGCCCTTTTCTCATCTCCCCAGTACTCTCATGAAAATTAATTTGTTGCAATTAATAGGATTAAAGAGTCAGCATATTTCTGCTGGTGGTACTCCAGATTTGTCCCATCTGCCCAGGAAAGGAAGGCCGATGATGATGAAATTGTCAGATTGTGCTGACAGTGTAGGGTTGTAACAAGGCTGCCTACTAACGCGGTCCTTCCATGCTGGTAACACACATTTCACCTGGTTAGCAGGTCTCTAGCCTCTCCCCACTGCTCACCCTTACACCCACCCTGTCCGTCACTCTTGTTTGCAAGATCCTCAATGCTGACACTCCACTTTTTGTGGAAGAACCACCAGTAGTTCTTCAAATACCCTCAAATTGGAATTCACACAGCTTTGTTATCAGATCCTACATGATCTGGTCCAGTTCGCCCATTAGCTCATCCTCTGCCACACACTGATCATTTGTATTTGAAAGCAAAGCAAACTACCTATAGTTGCCCAGACTACCTATAGTGCTGTTTCCATCCTTTTCATGGTTCTCTTTGTCTGAGTTTTTCTAACTTGTTCACTTTGCTGATGACTCCCACCTGCCCTTCAACTTTAAATTTTTGATAACTGATTTTTTATAAAACTTCCCTGAGCCCCTCGCGAGGCCATTTGCCATGCTGTTCTCTACTACACTGCTTTGTCCATGTCCATTTTTATGCATATCCCCTGGCATTGTGGATTATTGTTTAGATGTTTACACATCTGTCTTCTATACTATACTTTCACCTTAAGACAGTGGAGCTCATGCCATATTCATTTTTCATCCAGTACCAACAGGGCCTGCTACATGGTTAACTAGATATTGGAAGAACTAATGAATGGTTCTGAACCGATAGTCAAGTCCTGAAATTTTTTTCATAGGATAGAATTGGAATAATTTCAAAGAGCCTAACTAGTTAGACACCTTATCCACGATTTGGTAAAATTAATAGCTACTGTTTCTTGAAGGCCTCCTTTGTTCAGAAATATTGTTATGAGCTGCAAATACACCATCTCTGATCTTCACAGCAAACTGCAAGGTAGATATATTCATTCACCTTTTAGAGATCAGGGATCTGTAGTCCACCAATCACACATCAACTAGGGCAGAGTCAGGATTCAGGGCTCCTCATTTTCAAACAGTGCTTTATATGTCCCCCCGACCCCCCCCCCACACACACACACCCCTTCTGCCCTGTTACAGGAAAGAGCTTCTCATAGGACTGGGGCTCCTCACTAAGAACAGAATTTGGTCCCCTTAGGGCTTCTTCTCCCTAAACTGAGTAGACAAAAATGAGTTGCCCTGTGCCTGAGCCTCGCTTACCAGGAGCTGTGGATAGGACTCAGAGGCTTTACACAACAGATTTTGATATGGTCATTGAGGATAACACAGTCACAGTGTTTGCTAACTTTTCAGGTAAAGCTGACTGGATCGCATATTTGGCACCAAGCATTTGCATTGCTGTCATCACAGTGGGCATTTTCTCAACACGTTTCTTCCGGCAAAAGTGAGTTGGTTACACCTGCCAATTTGGTAAATGTATTTTTTAAAATGATATTAGTTGTTGCTATGGGTGAAAAAATGGGTATTCATACATTGCTGGTGGCAGACCATACTGAACTTTTAGGGGCAGCAGTATAATTTTTTTTTTAATATTATACCTTTGACCTACAAATTCCTAGCTAGAAATGTATTGTAAGTGTACTGCAGGTATATACAGGTATTTAGTGACAGGACTGTTCACCCAAGTATTGTTCACAAACAGAAAACAATTTGAAAAAACCTAAATGCCCAATAATCGGGATTGGCTAACTAAATCACAATATTTCTCATGCTCTGTAGCATATTATAATCCATTAAAGATGATGTAGGAGAAAATTAAAAGGTATAAATAGTTGCTATATTACATTTTAAAAACTGGTTGCAAAATGTGCTTTTATTTTATGTACAAACATGCATGAAGATAGATCAGTTAGCATTAAATTTGGTTGTACGTAACATAAAAGCCAAACCAGCACTTAGACTAGCTTAGTGTCTCACTCAGGTGAAGAAAGGAAGCTCAGGTAAAGAGCAGGGGCAGGGCCTCCCCGGTGGCGCAGCAGTTGAGTGCTGGGTTGTGAAGCTGCCCGCAGCCTCTGCAGCGCCGGCTGGATCCCTGGCTGCTGGCGAGGGTCCCGCATGGTGTGCAGACCTCTCCTGCCGCCCGCTGCTCCCCTCGGCAGTGTGCTTCTGTCCTTCTGCCTGTTCTGCTTTCCGCTCTGGCTCTGGTGAATTCTCTCACCCTTCCGCGCTTCTGACTGTACCCAGTGCTTGTATAAATAAATAAATAAATCTTTAAAAAAAAAAAGAGCAGGTACAGTAGCTCCATATGGAGACACAAGGGCCCTGGGCAACTCCTTTCTGTGCCACTCTCCAGATACTGGCTTCTGGCCCCGCGTTCACCTCAGGGTCCAGTGGCTGCAGGCCATCATGCCTGTGTTCTACAACTTGGGGGAGAAGGAAGGAAGGTGCCCACTTCCCTTTTTAGAAACCTTCACAAGGAAAGGAGGGTGGCTAGTGGGCAAATCAGGAAAAGGGAGTCAATTATGTAATAAAGGACAGAACTGGTCTTTTAGTGTCAACTGAATGTAGTACATACACATGTCAATGTATAGTGTACACACCTGAAATTTCTATGTTGATGCTATGTTACTTCAATTTTTTAAAGTGAAATAAAAAGAAAAAAATCTTGGGGTTAAAAAAAAAAAAAAAGAAAAGAAACCTTCACAGAACAAGTCATACGTGACACTTTATCTCATTGGCCAGAATGTGATGAAGTTAAGGGGGCTTAAAATTGTGGTCTTTTAAATGGACTCTCAGCAATCCCCCAAAGCAGGTTCCTCTTCCTTAGGAAGGGGCAGAAAAGGGTGTTGGTGGCAATTAACACTGCCCCAAGGATAGACACCAAAATATTAACGTTGGTTATATATCCGAGGGTAGACTCATAGGTGAGTCTAGTTTTTAGTTCTTTATTCTTAACTGTTATTTTCTAACATTTCTTTGGTAAACATTTTGTAAAAAAAAAAACTTTAATGTTATTCTATATAAAATTTTCTTCAGATGTTATGTAATGTAAGAGGCCAAAAGAAAACTAGTTCAAAGTCATCCTACTGGCCATTGAACTTGTCGGAAATTTTTACTGAGGCTCCCATGTGTGACAGATACTTCAAAGTAGAGTTCCCTTTTGGTAGATTTTGGAAAAGTTTAACTCAAAAATTTGAGTCAACTAGAATCATATGCACCCTCTTCAGGAAAATGGTGTCATTTAGGATGAAGGTTAAGCTGCTGTTAAAAAATAAAAGGTCCCCAAAATACAGTGATTTTAATAAAATAGTTTATTTCTCTCCCACATTAACAGTCCAGAGGGAAAGTGCTCCAGCTTCATTGGCAGCTGTGCTCCACAGGTCATATAGAGACTCAGTTTTCTTCTGTGTCATTGGCCTGCCATCCCGTGGGCACTGACCTCATCTGCTTACATTTCTTTAGAGAAAAACTGATCATATGGCCACATTTCTTGCTGCTCAGGGGCTAACCAAGTCCCAGAGGCTTATCATTCCTATTAAATATCAAAGCTTATTCAAGCCAAGTCTTTTAAATTTTTCATACAGGACTTGAATTTAAAAAAGTCAAAATATTTGTCACATGCATTCTTAAGAAATAATTTTAGAATTTTTTCTTTCCACATCATGAACATTATAAACTCCTTTAAAATTATTTTTTTAATCCAGAAATATAGAATGAAAAGACCCATATTTCCTCTGATCAAATACAACAATTAACAGTTTGTACATTTCCCTGATACTTTTTTCCTGGCGTATTTTTACTTAGCTGTATTCAAGCTTTTATACCACTTGTATTCTACTTTCTTTTTAATTTGAGCATAATAATTTACCTGTTATTACAGACTTTTAGTAAACATTCTAGTTAGCTAAATAATAAGCTCCCCAAGGGTAGAGACCATGTCTTTTTGTTTGCTATTCTGTCCCTAGCTTGTAGCACTGTGCTGGTCATATATTAAGAGTTCAGTTAATGTTTGCTGAATGAGGGCATGGCAGGATAGTGACAGATAGCTGAACATTGAGCAAAAGTACTGTAGTTTATTAGCAAATTGCAAATGGTTGCATCACGATTCTGTCATTTACCCGAACTTCACAGAAAACTAGTATAGCCTTGGATGATGCATCATCTTTCTCCCTTGGTGTTTATATTTTACTTATATTTGCATGCAAAATAATCCCTGCACTGAAACCACTGCACTAAGAACCTGCTTCCCAGCCACCATGTACACACGTGATCAAATGTCACTGTTTTCTTTGTCTATAGGGCAGCTGCTCTCCTTTCAGCCCTCAGTCCTCAGTGCTGTAGCAGAGAAATTCCAGACCCAGCAAACAGCATGTGGGTCAAAAAGTGTCCCATTGCAGAGGTACGTAAAAAGCGTCGACAGGCAGTCGATAGGGTTCTAGTGATCACCACATAAGTTTGCCCTTGTAGTTACGAGGATACCTGGGTGCTTAGAGCCTATGGATAAGCCAGTCACTCATGCTGAGTTACCATCTGAGTCATCACTCCATGCAGAGGAATTTTCTGGAGCTTATGACCCAAAGACTTCACAGCTTATCATTCCTCTCATGCTTTAAGGTCCCCTCAACTTACTTCAAAAGAAATAAAAAGTATCTTTGCCATTTACCATGCACTAGCTTGGGCACTGACTCATCCAAATTCAAGAGAATTGAAGTTTTACTGTGACATTCCCAGTCCTGTCTGAACATAGAACAGATAGAGCCTAGTCTGTTTTGGTTTCGGCAGGAAGCCAGAAAGTTATTTCACTGTACAAGGAAAAGGTTTTAAAGAAAGAACCATTGCAGTGGCAGATGAGAGCGAGCTGAGAGTAAACCAACGAAGGGAGCTGCTACTGGGCAGTCGAAGGAGGTGGGAAAAGCTCAGTGTGGGCAAGATGATTCCTCTCTGGTGGAGGATCTCGAAGTTGAAAGCATTTGAATATGAAATAAGACAGCTTTTCGGGGGAGCAAAGAGGAAAAATGTGATCTACCAATATTCTTCCCATTGCCTGGGGCCTTGGCAACCCCAGTCACCTTTCCTAAAACTTTACAAGCCTTGTCCTCCAAGACTCTTCTCTTCAGTTACCCAGTCCATTCTATCATCCATACCTTTCCTCAGGTCAGAAGTAGTGGTACCAGCCTCTTCTCAGGAAAAGGGCTGGTTTCAGTAGGAATTCAAGTCACCGCAATTTAGGGCCTTTGTGATAAGGCTTTGATGTTTACTATGATGGTGGCTCATCCATGGGCAACTTGCCTGACAATCTGAATCCTAATTCCATTCTCTGTAAAATAGAAATTGACAATAATGCCTTAAAATGCCATTTGAAATACATGGGTCATAGAAGGCAAAGGCCATTCACTTTCTTCACAGGAAGATTAATACTAGAAATCTCCTTTCTATTGAAGGAGTTTATCCTTGTTAAGTTACAGTAGCAAGAACAGTAAAAATAAACCATATTTTTATATTTATAGTACTTGTACTATATATTAGCTAGTATATATATGTATGCTTTAAATTAATACAAATATTTCACATACATAATTATAATTGTAGTGTGTGTACATACATGTATATATACACATACACATGTATATATATATATATACATATATATAAAACTTTGTGTGCCAGGCACTTTAAAAAACATTTTCCATGCATTGATATGTAATCCATACAACAGCTTTATGAGGTTATGCTGTTGCTGAGACACAGGACTAAGTAATGTGCCCAATGTTAGTCAGCTAGTAAATGGTGAATCTCAGGTTCACATACAAGGAGGATGTGCTATCCATGACACTATACATCCTAAAGGACCTTGAAACGAGGGTAGAGGGTGTGTTTCTAGCAGCCATAGCTCTAAGCTGAACAGACTAGAGAGGTGCTTGTAGGCTGGGTCATCTGGAGGGCACTACTTGACAGCAATGTGGGGATGCTCTGTGGAGATGCACTCGTCACAGATGCCACTGCTTGTGTTAGAGGGGATCCAAGTACCAGCTAAGCTTTAATCTCTCTTCCAATGCTGAGATTCCACAGTCCTGTGTCCTGAAAGCCTGAAATAGCATGGTGGGAACAGCCTTGGGTCAGTCACGGACACCTGGCTCCCAAGCTGTAGCTTTGGCATCATGTGCTTTGTTTTTCTGTCTGGGCGCGAGGGGATAGAGAGGCATCCAGAGCCACTAAAGGGCCCAGAAACAACCTAGAAAAATGCTACAAAAGACACACACAGAGTTAGAAAAGAACACTGGGAGAAGGTAACTGAAATTATCACACATAAGCCTGAAGTTGTATAGCTTAAGTATGTTTACTGCAGTATGATAGAGGACAAAAATTTGGTATTGTGTAATCTGGAAACCTATATATGTTACATATAAAGCGGATATGGTAATTGCCTCTGGATAGGAGGTTGGGAGTGAGAGAGTCAATTTTCACAATATATTCCCTTTGAGCTTTAAAAAGATGTTTTTAGTGTTCATATATTCTTCTTGCAAAAGTAACTAGTAAATTAGAACAACAACAAAAAAAACACAACAGCTTAAATGTGGCCTCTGCAACGAAAGCCTTGAGACAGCTGCAGAACACCATGTCACTTGGTCCTTAAAGTGCTCTCCAGGTGACAGACTGGGGCAGATATCAGAAACACAGTCATCTTGATTTTTACCTCCAACAAAATATACTTTGACTTCTCAGTCCTTATGTCCCCCTACTGCTTCTTAGGATATCTGGAAGGTCTTAAAACTCATAAGGAAAATGCCATACAAAGGGGGTCACTACAGTGTTAGCTATTTTGAGGTTGTAAAAGCTGAAAGTTGTATATACGAAGTGCCTGAACTAGTGGTGGTCTAAGAGGCCTTGCCCCAGGACCGCCAGGCAGAGGGCCTGCTACTTTGTAAAAGCTCCAAGGAGCAGCCTCTGTCAACACTGCCAAAGCTTTGGAAGATAGAGTGAAAGTCTCACCACATGAACGCAAGCCAGTTCCACCCTGTGTAATCACTCCTAATCTGTGGTGGCGGTGCTTTGGCAGCTCTGCTTCCCAGAGCTGTTGGCCACATTCCAAGCCAGACCAATTTGCCAGGATCAGTTTGGGTTGTGATTGGAAGATCCCCCAAAGAGAAACACACATGTACCCTTTAGCTTGTCAGGGAGGGCCCTTGCAGAGGTCTGTGTTGTGCACCATCATTTACTATTCAGATACTTGTCGTGCTCAAAGCAAGGGAGGGGACTTCAGACGCCAATCCAGACCAAACCACTCTTGCACAACTTGGCATTTGATGGATGCAGAATCCAAAGGCCAGAGAAGTTGATGGAGTTTTCCCAGGCTATAAAAGTGACCTAGTCCCCAAGGCTTGTCCTGCCTCAAGACTATTATAATTTATTGTTATCCTCCCCTATGACATGGTCCCTGCTCAAAGATGGTTTAAGAACATGTACAAAAAAAATAAAAATCAATAGCATACAGTATCATGTGCCAAGAACCTAGTGGGCTTAACTGTTTTAAGAGTCCAGTGAAGGGACTAAAAGCACTTTGCGAAAGAGAAAGGAGTTAAAGGAGACAGTGCTGCCAACAGAAGCAGGGTGGAGGCTTGCAGTGGAAATAAAGTGTGGTGATGGCACTGAGAAAATGAGCGTGTCCAGTAAGACTAGATGAACAGTGTGGCTGAAATAGCAGTTTCTGAAGGGAGCCGTGGGGAGGTGGTGGAAAGTGCAGGAAACTGACTGCCAAGCTATGGGCAGCAAGCTTTCTTCATTGGTAAGTCTGAGTTGATAAAGGATTTGGGGCTGTGTTTTTGAAAGATTATGCAGTCAGTGTGAGTTTGGAGGATGGAAGGAGAGCCTAATAAGGCCTATTAAAAGAAATGTTAGGAAAGTGCCCAGGACTTTGATTCAGTCATCAGGGAGTAAGTTTATAAAGGAATGGTAGTATATATTGAAGAGCTAGTAACCGATGCAATGGTGAGGAAAAGAAAAGTCAAAATTAGCTATAGAGAAAATAGGATTAAAAATGTCTTCCAAAAAATGCTATTCACAGAAGGGTCTTTAAGAGCAGAGCAGATAAGGACATCACCCTGCCTAACTCCTTTGAATAGTTGTATCAAAGCCCAAACTCGTTAGCATCCCTTAAAAGGCCTTTCATCATGTGACCTATTTCCAGCTCCCCCGTTTGCCTGTCATAACAACTAGCAGATTGCAGAATATTCCAGTCCTCCTTGCCCACCACTTCCCTATTAGAAAATACTATACAGCTCAGGATTCAGCTCTAATGTGACCCTTTCAGGATCTTCCCCGCCTTCTCCCCGGAGAAGCTGGTTGTAGCTAGAGGGCAGGCAACCAGCTGTGCTTTACATCCCAGAGGAAAAGCACTAGTGCAGTTTGACTCACAGTAGAAAGTATGGCTGAAGGTTGAACTGAGCAATGAATCACTCTTGACTGGGGGTTCTGAGGAGTCCATGGCTTTTGCCTATCTGCCTCCCTTTCTTTCACCTTGCAAAGTCAAAGGTTCAAACATCTCACCTTGAGCTGACTAGGTAGTGCAGACTGTTGAGGCTCTTTGGAACCCTGGAGAAGTCGATTATCAAGTTTACTTAATAGTAACATGAACCTCTTGCTGTATCTTCTCAGGAGAAGATGGTCCATTTAGACAGGCTCCTGACAGCCTGGTCCACCTCTGAAGAACCTGAGCCCCTTGTCATCAATGAAGTCCTCAATAAAGGAATCCCAGTCATCAGACCTACTCATCGCTCCAACTGGTCAGAAGGACAAGAAGTCCAAGGTCACTGTACCTCTGAGGAAGACACAGGGTACTGTGCCTCCAGTCCACCACATCCAAGAGCTCTCACAACAGAGACTCAGCAACAAGTGGACCTATACAAGGTACTGGGCTGCAGGGGCCCTGACTCAAAGCTGGGAAATGTCCCCTTGAAGGCTCTCCCTGTAGACTACCTTCCCACACAGGAGGGCTACTTACCCTGCAACACAGATCCTCTCCCTTCACAAGAGGAACCCATAATAGACCCTTTGGAAGAACTACAGCCTCAGCACATCTCTCTCTCCATTTTCCCCTCAAGTTCCCTTCACCCACTCAACTACTCCTTTGGTAAGAAGTTGACTCTGGACCAGTTAAAGATGGGTTGCGACTCCTTTATGCTATGAGAGGCAAAGCTTGAGCATGGAATGTCGGTGTGCCCACAACCAGCATGGCAGGCTCCATCTACCCAACCCTGTGCCCAGTGGTCACTGCCTCTGGATATAGCTAAGGATAAACAAGCCAGCCGGGTGAATATCTGGAGCTGAGAATGACTGTCACCAGAACCTTATTTTGTCTTGTCCGGAGCCTTAAGATTACATCCACTGCCAATCTAGAGACTCCAACTTTCTTAGCTATGCTGGCGAGAAAGGGAAAGTGGAAACCAACTCTTATTAGCACCGACAACCAGTCCAAAAGACCATTCATGCAACAACTATTTATAGAACCCCTACTACACACCAGGTACTATTATGTCTAGATCAGTACAGTCCAGAACTTTCTGCAATAAAGAAATGTTTATACACGTGCACTCTCTACATATATCTGCTACAATACAGTGGTCACTGAACACATGGTCTATTGACTACTTTGCAGTGTCCAATATGACTGACAAAGTGAATTTTGATTGTAATTCTTCGCATGGCTAATGGCTACTGTATTAGAGAACACAGCTCTAGCCTAAAACACTAGAGAGAATTACAAGGAAGTTTCATACATCAACCTAGTTTTACTGATGAGGACATGGAAGAACCTGGTGAACACCAAATTGAGTGCCCCGAGATAGTCATGATTGCCCTCATTTGTGCAAGCCTAAAATTGTATTTTTCTCCCCTAAAAAGCATTATTTTGCCTTTACTCCCTCAGTGAATCAAGAGCAGCTCAATGATTTCTTCTGTATCTTCTAAGGGAGCTGGCCTAAGGTTCTGACCCCATCTTTTTCCTACCGCGGCTGGCACTGCCTTCAACAGGGCTATCTCAGAACTTAAAACAAGAGTGCACTCAGTCCCCTTTTCCTGGAGTCATCCAGCATTCCTTCCTTGTGGCTAGTCCTCAGACATTCAAGTTGCGCCTGAAGATACCTCTTTCCCAAGGCTGAAACTTCAAATAGGATTCACGTTTCACTCCCTGCAAACCGAGGCCTTTGGCTTGTCAATCTTCTCTTGCCCATCGCCGTCTCTGCCTCTTCACTATAGGCACTTCTAAGCTGGTGGATGTCTTGGTTTAAATGCTAGCAGTACCCTTCCCCAAAACAGGAAGAAAGGTCCAAAAAGTTTTTTCTTAAATCTGCCAAGCTGGGGCAACAAGTGGGGGAATAGGGGAGAGTGGGAGCTATTGCTAGTTTTCCCTCTGCGCTCTAGAAATTAAAACGAAAAGCATTTGCTGTACTTGTTTTATCTTGATCCATGATTCCTGGCATTCCACATTTTCTCCCAAGCTTCCTTTGAAAACCTAAGCTCCATCCTCATCTCTATTCTACTGTATTTAGCTGCTGCAAATCATCGCCACATGATCCTTGCTGCTTCAGTGTTGGTTTATCTTCACCCAAGACATGCTAGCCCTTGTTTGACAAGGCTACCTCCTCGGAAAACTGGCCAACGTATTACCAATGGCAGTTCCTTTTCTCTCTCACAATGGTTTTCCTTCTGATTACCTGACAAACCAACATAGTTACTCTTCCCCACCCCTCATCCACCTTACCAAAGACCCAGTTCCCAGTTTCCCTCTCCCTTCTCTTAAAGGCTAGGTGAGCATTTGTATTTCTTAGGGTATGAAAGAAGACAAAGGGGGCCTTCCTTGACTTAGAGGCTCCTTCTGGGATGTGGAGGCCTCCTCAGTGCTCTCCCAGCAGCATAGCCACACCGATATTTACTTCTACTGGATTGTGAACAGGAAGGCAAGGACTATGGCAGGCTAACCAAGTGTGTAAGATGTTACCTGTCACCAATTTTATCTTGTTCCAGAGGCCAGTTCATCAGTACCTGCTTCCTCTTTATCGGGACAATTGAATTTGCATTTGTTCCTCTTCATCCCTAATCCCCATTCTACCCCGCAATGTTCCCCGAGGGCACTGTTATGACACACGAGGCCATTTCATACATACTTGAGCAGGCTAACCCTGCCAGTGTCCTTTCCACCAATGAGAGGATAGATAGGTCACCTCATGCTGCCCTCATCCCAAGTAATTTTCATAGCCCATTACACCCAAAGTCAAAATCTTCACTCAGGTTGCAAAGTTTACCAGGACTGTGTAGAGCTCACCCTTTATACACCAGTTTTTCATTGCTCAGGAAGCCTAAAATCTTCATTCCTAACATATATACCAGAGTCAACCCAGATATTTGATTGAAACATCAAATTCCTTAATTCTCTGGAACTTAAAGATACTGTAGTCCAAATTCATTCTTAATGGATTCATGGGACACTATCACTAATTCTCATGAAGAGTCCTTACCTTGAAAGAATTCTCCTTTTCTAGAAACCTGCAATTCTATTCACTGGGCCTGTCTTCCTTATAGGCAATAGGAAAGTCAAGCTAGTGTTATCTAGTTCTTTCATCGCCTCTCTACACCCTGTCCTGATTTCTCAAATTCTATTAATAACTTACAGCTGCAACTCACCAGTGCCCTGAAGCCAGTGAAAGAAATGTCAAGCTAGGCACATTCTATTCTAGTCAACAACCCATGTTTGATTCTTGGTTTTTCTCCATCGAGCTGTTTTTCCCCACTGGATGTAAGTGTCATTTGTCCCGATATGGCTGCTCAAGCCCTCCAAAGGAGCCCTGTTTTTCCCTTCCTAGCCTGCAGAATTCATGGAAGTTCACAATATCCACTCAAGAAGGGTTGATAGGTGAACCCCTGAGTAAATCATTCTCTAGAATAATCATCATTCTCTAGTAAATCATTCTCCAGAAAGTTCTCTTCCTCACCCCCTAAAAAATAGATAAGCAATTTGATTGGTTAAGTGATAGAAAAAAAAGTTTCTTACATCAGTCTATACCCAAATTTTTGAGAAATTAAAACTTCGTGAAACACCACATACTAAGTTAGAATAACATTTGCAATATATGCCCAAAATACTGTCCTTAATAAGGGACTTAGCAATATGAAAACTTAACCCAAGACTGGACAATTCATGAAATACATATAAATGCTCAAACTAGCAAGCACACACACACACACACAGAAACAATTAGTTGAAATCAGAGGAGGTAGTATTAGAGAAAACTGGTATTGTAGTTGGCTCCTCTACAGCTAGGCAATATTCAATTTAAATTTGAATAAGGAATTTCACTGCTAGTAATGTAGACTTAGGAATACTATAAATACAAGTTGAATGGATTCATTACAGCATTACTGAAATGGGGCGAAGGGCCTAAACGTCCTTCAGTAGGGAATTGGTAAAATCACTCTATACAACAAAAAACTGAACATGGAATCCAAGACTCCAAGAGTTTTAGGACACATCACTCCATGTTCCAAGTAGAAAAAAAATGCTAAGACTGTAACGTCATCATGGCAAACATTATTTCTCAAATTGAAACATGCCTAAAACTGGGATGGATCCTAGAATATTATGCCTTAAAAAAAGGGACATAAATATTTTACGTGGGAACAGTTACAAAAGGCTGAAATACAATCACTCTTCTAAAAAGTTAAATATACACCAAAATGCTATTACCTCCAGACAACTTTTTAAAATTACACTTGTGTTTTCATTAAATACTTCTTATTCTTATAACTGGATAGTCAATAAAACAAAATCTCACCAATTTCTTTCTAAAACGTGGGTCTAGAGACAGACACTACTAACCACTTTCTTTAACCAGTGTCTGCATCCTCCACCTTCTCTGGCACGTCTATTGATCCTTAGAACTCCAAAAAAGTAAAAAGAGATGAAACTAAGTGAAACTTGAGGATTTTAGAGTAATTAGTGAAAGCAATAGATCTTCAAAATACAAAGTTTGTGTTGTAATTTTTCAGCAAACCCATTCTAAAAGTAATGAGCACTAACAATTTGTAGTTTTAGCTCACTTTTTGCCACAATTGGTTAAGATGGGTGTTAACACCACTAGAAACTGAGATACAAACATTAACTTAACTGCAGTTCCCTAACTAGTATCTGATACTGTAGTCTGATTTTAGAGCTAACTTTTAAAATATCCTAACAATTCCTTTTGATGCAAACAACTGTGCTAGAAATTTCTATCAATTGCATTGATTCCAGTTAACTATAATTTTGCTTCCTTCCCATAAACATCTTAGACATTTCCATCATTCTTGGTTCTTGTGAAAGCTATGTAAAAACCAGGTAAATTTAAATAAGTGACACCAGGATGTATCTGGCACCCCTAAATTTGCTAATTTATCTACCCAGCTCATCTAAGCGTTAAAAGATAAGGCACAGGCAGTATATGGGCCAGAGAACAGTATGGGCCAGAGAAGGTAGTATAAGGTTATTAAGGAAAATGGTAAAATGAGTATTAAAAACCATAAAAACATACCTTTTAAGTAGAAAAGTAACTGAAACAGTGTGCCCTTTTAACTGGCTCTACATTTTGCTGGTGGTTCTCATTTACAAGTGGTAAAAATCATTCTTAAACTGGTTTCACTTAGATTTCAATCTCATCTCTGAAACACACAAAACTTACGTGCTACCATGGGTCCCTTAGTCCTGAATTCAGGCCACTTTTCAATTTCCACAACTTTAAGGAACTCTTCCATGAGATCCTGGCCTTGCCCAGGCAAGAAAACATGAGGTGAAGCTAAGAATACATCCCTTGACAACTTTACCACCTACCAGTCGTAAGGACCCAAGGAAAGAGGAGATTCTCAGAATAACTCTTCCCAAAGAATACATTTCATTAGAAAGGCAAGAACCACAAGCAGGGCATTTCCACTTTTCAAAAAACTAAAGACACCCTTCCAAAACTGGATGGAATTCACTATGAAACCCTATTTGTTCCTTTATTAAAAAAAAAATCACTTGATAAAAATGGCAATGTCTCCCTGGAGATTAGCTGGTAACATCAGCTATGTTAACCCAAGGGCAAATTTCTTGCCTCCTATCCAAGCTGCTCTTCAGAAGATCCTGCTCTTTTACCCAGAGGCAACAAAATTTCAAGGGGAAATAGGAACTAGCAAAATTTCATTTGGAAGCAGAAATCTTGATTTCATCAAACAGATTAAAGGATCATTTGCCTTCTCACACCACCATAGAAAACACTGGTTTCCTAGGTGTTTTTTTTCCTCTCATACCTGTAGTACAACTCCATACAACTGGATTCTGTGAATTTCCATTAACATTCCCTTTAGTTTACCTCCTCTGATCTACAATAGGGTAGATTTCAGAGCAGTTGCAGTTTTAAATCAATTCCAATTTTTCTTCTCAGAATCTACAGCTGTTTTTTAAAAGAAACACACAGGCTCGCTTACAACTGGGGTATAGAATTACTTAAGTTGTTCAATCAAGAGCATATAACAATTATCTCTTAATAACCCTTGTCCATTTTTTCATTAAAAAAAAACTCAGATGACTTGTAAATATTTTCATTCAGCATTACAGAATCCAAAACATTTCTCTACTTCGGTCAACCTGACTTCCAACTCTATCATTCAACTCAACGTACAGGAAGATCAGTCCAATTAACAGCTTTTGATAGTGACCTAGTACTACTCAACCAGTATCAAGGGATACCCTTATGAACAAATAGTGTGTCTGAAGCATGCACAGTATACCCCACAGGTATACTGCTTTTTTACCCCGTGACTAATGGCCAGTTAACATCGGTCTTAAAAGTAGTTTTATCCAATTCAATCTTCCCAAAACTGCTTCAGAAGCTAACTGGATTTCAACACTTAAGTGTCTTGGTAAAACATATACACATAATCAAGTTGAAACCAAACTTATCCGTAGTTTTTAAGATCTCCCTTTCTTACTTGAAAAACGTGGCATTTCATTGGAAACTCAGAATTCCCAGGAAAAGACAAATTGTCCGTCCCTAAACATTTATGTGCTTAACTCAATTCACCAATCATGGAAGGCATTATTTTTAGCTGAGATTGGGGAGCAGGGAATTGTAGGAGGAATCCACCATCTTTTTGGATGTGTCATCAGTTTCAACCACTTCTGACAAAATGCCTAAACATGCGTCCATCAGAACTGTGTGACTGACAAAACAACATTTCATTGTGGATTATTATACCCGAGGTCTGAAACAAGGAATTCAACAAGCAAATTCCCCAAACAAAATCTGACAGTTTACCAACTAACTAAAAATTCTGGCAAAATTCTAGCTCATCAAGTATCAAGAACTAAGTTCTGCTAGAACATTTTACACAGAACATTCATTCAATGTAGATAAACTGCCACTTCTTAACAGCTTTTTGTGTTAAAATGAGAAATTAACTGTACTTAAGTTGACAGAATATAAACACTATCCAAAGATAGTTGCCTTATTTTCCCTATTCAGTTTACCAAATAACAAATATTTGAATATTACCCCCTTGCCTTCCACATTTCCACACCTCTAAAACACTGCTGCTATTTAAGAAATAGAACTGTTAGCAGTACCTATTCAACAGTTTCATCACCTGGTGTGAAATTATCTAAAGATTTTTTAAAATCCATGACAATTGTCATATTATCACTACGTATTATGTTCCATGCACAAGGGTTAAGACTACGTATGGGACTAGGAAATGCTGCAATCCCCTCCAAATGGAGTGACAAACATCAGATTTAGAACACTAGGTACCTACACTGCAAACAAAAACAACTTAGTAAATTTTCTAAAGCACATGAAGTATTTCTCATCCTTTCCTTCCTCTTACAGTTGACTCCCATTTAGTATAAAAAGCTAGATTCTGACCAATCCTCATTTAAGCTGAAAAAATGTAATCCTCAAAAACCATTAATTCCAACAACTTATTTACTATGTATTAAAACTTTTCTTACTTACACAATGTTCAAAATTCTCATCTCACAGAAAAATCAATTCTTACAACTGAAAAATCTAAGTGCTACTAATGTGAAAATTTAGCTGCAATGGTATTGACCTTACTTTTATAGAAAATTTGTATTTTAACAGCTTCCAGAGAGTATTTGTGGCAAATTAACCTTTTGAAAAAAATATGATCTTTACTAAAAGGCTACCTCCTGATTGGAGGTCAGGTAAAAAATTTACCTTACACTACTTCTAATTTCACTTCACATGGGGGAAGGTTTATTGTAGACCTAGAATTAGTCTTTTATTTCAAAAGAACTCATCTTGACCTGGGAAAGACTGCTTAAGTCAAGTGTCAGTGAACATTTTCTGTCAAGAGCCAGATAAAATATTTGAGACTTTAAGGACTTACATGTATCTTTTGTGGCATAGGTTCTGACCCTTTAAAAATGTAAAAACCATTCACAGCTCAGAAACAATAAACTTGACTACAGATTGAAACTTGCTGACCCCTGGCATTATTTAACTGACATTCATTTCAAATGTAGTAAGTTTCCCCTGTGGCCAAAATCTTGATGGCTTTTAATACTTTTTACATCCTAAAAACTCTTAATCTCTTTCTTTTCCTTTTTCAGTTGAATTCCTTAGTATGAAACATCACAATCGTTTCTCATATAACCTATGAATCTGCCTACCTTAAAAACCAACTAAAAATCTCAAGTCTTGAGAACCCAAGCTACGCAGAAAAGTGAACCCAAATTCCTTCAAGTTGCAAACTCAGACCTGACAATTTTTCAAATGTCAAAAAGTTAGTTTCACTAATACTAGAGTCTGCCAAGTTTGATGAGATTATACTGCCTTTACTAGATATACTCTGCAAAGCATCCTAGTAATAAAATACTGGGCTTTCTTTCTATAGTTAACTTGGAGAGCAAGTTAGATCCTTGGCCACTTATCTACATGTTAATTTCAGGAATTTATAATGGGGTTAGAATCTATTTTCTGAGATTTACTTTCACTAGAAAGTAGAATTGCGTAACTATCTCAGAGCCCCAAAATTTGCTATTCAATACTTCACTATCATTTCAACATATGTTACAATCTTACCTTAAACTCAAAATCTGTCAGTTTCTAGCAGCTTAACATTTCTCCATTTTTTTTTAAAAAAAAAAGGTATTTTAATACTTGTTTGGTTCCTGCTACATAATGCTTGTGCTCTTAAAAGGTGTATTTCAAAAATCCAACATCCAGTATTTGCTTTGTTTGAATCTCCCTTAATTTTCTATAGCATAAGAGTAATACTTTTCTATTTCAGTGCCACTATCTCTAGAAGTTAGAAAAATAACAAAATTAGAGTGAGTTCTTAATATTCCCTCCAAACTCAAACCAAAATATAAGCCCCCCCATATTTTTATGACCCTGGGGTTGCTGTGTCCTCCTTTCATTTTCAAATATAATCATTACATGTATAGCACCTGGTGATATTGAAAAATCTTTCATCACTCCACAAGGTCTCAAAATAATGTTAACAAAAAAAAAGAGAAATACTCTAGTCATTTCAATGCAAGCTGAAAACAAACATCAGCTCTGGCATTCCCATTTAGAAGAATCAAAGAGTACACTAAAACACTCAACCAATTAACATTATTTAGAGATCTGTATCCATTGGGGGTTTCAGATTATACCGTTTGTCAAAGGGATGGTAAGGGCATTCAGTTCAGTGTGATTATTACATTCAAAAGGTGATTTGCTAAGAAAAATGCTAATTGTCACATTAACCCTTGAAACTCATTTTACAAGACTTCAACTTTCTAACTCATTGATAGCCTGAGTTTACAAATAAGAATCCCACATAAAGTCTATGTAATATAACAGGAAAAAATGAAATGTGAGCATTATCTTGAAGATGCACACACACATCAGAAAACACATGACAATAAATGGGCTCCTATTTGATTGCTTTTATGACTTTTAAGAAGTGAGCATGAAAATAAATCTTTATTTTCAATTATTACCCACCAGTAAGAGAAAAGTTAGGTTCACAGTTTTAGCTCTTGACACAAAGTGAACTAGGAGGCAAATTAACATCCATCAGATACAACTAATGGACCAACTTTTTAAAGTTCAGGCTATCTTGAAAGCTTGCAACATACCAAATATTGCTGTATATTTTCTAGTGACAGAATGCCAGCAGTGGCTGACAGAAAGAATTTGTGAAGCATTTTTAATAAGCAGGTGTTTTCTCTATGTTGCTAGAAATCAAGATGTTTATAAACATGTTACATGTCCAGAAACAAGTTAAGGTACTTGAAAATCTAAACACACTGATTTAGGAGTGTGTACGTTACAATCTCAAGAGGGGTCAATAGTCCATATGGACTAAATTAATACTCGCCTCTGGGTAGCAGGTATGTTTTTAAATACAAAATTACGCTAGACATTAGCACCAGTGCAGAACATGCTCAGCATCATAAGATCCAAAATACCAGCACAAGTTTATCCATCATTGAGAACCAATTAATCTCCTTCTAAGATGTCAAACTAGTTGGCAACTAAGATTAACAAATTCAAATGAGTTAACTCTTGTACTTTAAGTATATGGAGAACTAACCAGCTACACAGACAATTATGATTTAAGATCTTCAATGATCTTCAATATTTTTAAGACTGGACATAACCATATGTAAGTGGAAAACTCACTAAAAATTATTAAGTGATAAAAAGGTCTTTAAAACTATAAATAAAATCCCTTTTCCTGTTATCAATTATGTGGCAGATTGAACAAAGATCCTACAAAACCTGTTTATTTGACCTTTCTCTCCATGTATGTTTTAGTAAGTGGTGATGTTCCCAATTCAAAGAATCCATTAACTTAATTTTCCAATGGAGGAAGAGGGAAAAGATACTTATCTTCTGTGGAACAGTTATCTATGAACTTGAACTTAAGACCAAAATTATAGCAATATAGGAAATTCAGAAACGTTAAGATTTTTGGTTTCTGTTTCATGGATGATGCTGCTGTTCCAACCTTATAAAGCGAAGCTGTCTGCTTTCCAAATACCAAAAATTATAATACTCCCCCATATCACCATACTAACCAGTGCCCTTTGGTTTCTTTAGAACAAGGAAAGGGTTAGGAGTTGATTATGGACATACAATTTTGATTTGGGACCTTTCACACACATAAATCATACCAAGTGGCCACTTATTTTACATAATGGATCGACTATTTCCCATTAGCCAAATTAATTTGTTCCACCCACTCTGCTGGAGGGAAAAACCCAGTACCCACAAAACTACTTCACTTGACAGGATATCTCTATCAACATTAAGCAGTTTAAATAAGTTTCAGCAGTAAGATGTGCAGTCTGGTTTTGGGAAGGGGAAAGCCACTCATTTTAGAAGGATAGTTGAAATTGTTAATCAATAATTTGAACCTAATGAACCATGCAGGAGCAAGAGTTAATAAATCAATGTGCTTCGAATTTGTTCAAGTACTGATATTTCTGTATATAAAGATTTAGCATATATAACAGCTTTCATGAGAAATGAAAAGATTTTTCCCCAGAAATGAAAATATTAAAACTAAGGTAAAATACATAAAGTAGTTAGTATTCCACACAGCATAAAATTTGACAAATCAAAGTTTACATGTCCCAGTAGACCATGTGTGAAAATGCAAAGCAGGTATTAAAACTATGTCCAATATTTAAAACCAGTTTGTAATTGGGGGGAACATCTAAATCCTTAATTAAAAAACACAAATGAAGTGGAAGCTTTAAACTGGTACACACTGTTCACACCTATATTTCAAGTTTGGAAATGCATATTTGCAAGCAGCAATACAAAAGTATTCATGAAGAATGCATAATCTCTGAAAATTATGAAAACATCCCTGCTACCAATACATTTCTAAATACAAAACTGACTACCATATTGTTACTTCTGTGTAGCGAGAGAAGTTCATTTTCAAAACAGATAAAATTCAGTCTTTAGGTGTGAATGGTATGAATGACAGTCTTTTTTTTTTTTTAATTTCTTAGTCGTTTGGGATCCTTAAGCATGCAAAACCTCAGACAGGAGGGTCCACAAAGGAACCAGGGTTGTCTTATGGCATCCAGTTAAGCCAGAGCTGGGAATGCCTCTGGGTCATCTACATCAGGAGCAGAAGCACTTGACTGAAAAAGAAACAAACCAAAATTAACAATTCTCAAATCCTGAAAACAGACTGCCAGTGTCCACATTTAGATACAACGCTAAGAAATCTTGAAAGAACTAAATAAAACTTATCAAAGCTTTTATTTAAAAAAGGCAAAATTATGGAGAAAAGGACTACAAATATTTTCTATGAGCTTTGTCTTGAATTTCTATCAAGACCTAAGAAAATATCTGGTAAGAATATAGGTTATTTTATTTTTCTAATAAGTCACAAATAGATTCACAAGGGATATGAATAAGGATTAACTTCATTCTTCAGTATATTTTCCTCACTTGCAAAATGATTGGCATCAAACTTAAAAGCAGGTCAAAAAACTAACAATTGTTTAAGCAGTACCATCCATCATTGTTAGAAAGGGGCCGCAAGTGCTATTTACAGTGTAGGTACAAATACCTTTGAAAAAAGGCACTGAAAAGGCCCATGCCCACAAATTGTATTTTTTTTTAAAAAATTGATGGCAGAGCATGAACAGAAATAAAGTACTATTACACTGCTATTAGTGACCATAAAATCTGTTAATATTAAGCTACGATTATAAACACTGACAGATTCAACATGGGTGCCCCAATTTGTATTTCACATTTTGAGAATCCAGGACATAGCTGCTTGTAGGCTATAGGAGACAATGAAGTAAGTCAAAGTTTACCCCTAATACTGTAACATCAAATCATTAAGCTCATGGACTTTGCCTCATACACATCAAGAGTTTAAATCTTTCCATTACTAGGGCTTCTCTCTGACTAGTTAAGAACTTGTTTTGTGTCACACTAGGCAAAGCATTGTGGTTTAGGGATAGCAGGCCAACAAATTATCCCAGCTCTCACAGATCAGTCTAGTAAAAAAATAAAGCACAACAAAAAAGGTGTCAACAATCATATGAAATGTCACATAGGAAATTATACAACAAATACAAAGGTAATGTCCAGCTATAAATAGCAGTGAAGAATCAAAAGAAAGAGAGCAGCTGGCATTTCAGGCAGACCTTAGCAAAGGCCAAGATTTAACTTGGTTCCTTGTACCTGATTTTCATCTTCTGTAAAACGAAGATATCAATATCAAGAATTGATATAATAAAGTGGGGTAAATAATAAAGTGGGGTAATTCAACTCCACTGGTAGCATTTCTCAAAATCATCTGAGTGCTTTAAAGAAAAGCATATTCCAAAATAAATGTTCTAAAAACCAAGTCTATTATTTTTCCTTCTTCTTACGTACCCAAAAGGACTTAAGTGTGGTGATTTACCCAAAGAGGCCTCAAATTTCTTAGGAAAGGGTAAAAGCCTTAAAATTACCTTGTCAGTCCTGCTGCCACGGTTAGGACGTCCACCACGCCCACGGCCACCTCGTCCTCCCCTGCCACCACGTCCAGGGCGGCCAAGGTCTCCAAAATTGATCTCCAGCTGAGATGTTATATCATTTGCTGGCTTCCGGAAATGATGGTCCATAACCGAATCTTCCGCATGAGCCTAAAAATTCAAGTGAAAGTCACTGGGTTAATTTAGGTAAGCAATGTAAGCACATTTAACTTTTTCACCTGAAAAACCCAAACACCCACCTGGTACTTTGTGTGAACAAATAAATTAACACTACAGATTATTATTAAGCTTTGGAATTGGCTACAATGATCTTAGAGGAAGAATTCACTTTTCTCTATTCCAAATTCCCCTATTTTTAAGTTGCAGGTGATAAAGGCAATTCTCAACTAAAAGTATATAATCACCTCTAATAATGACCTCACCCCATCTCAAACCTTCTGAAACATCATCTTTGGCAGTTGAATTTGGGTAAGTACATTTTAAATATGCCCTTCAGATTTGGATTCCAATGAGAACCTCTGATGAAAACTTTTGGATAAAAGTTATGTAAAGTTTCTTCTACTCGTAATACTGAATCTCTATGTTTTATGCGGCTCAATGTCTGATTTCTTCTTGTATATTTGGAATGAACAGGTTTTTAATCTCAGGATATTTATTTCAAGTGCTTTTTATTTTTCTAAATTCACATATCCTCTTGACTATGTTCTTTCTAAATAACACATAAATTAACTAACCTTTTAAGTACAAATATATTTCTGTATTTATACACATGCTTTCACCACTTTAATCATCTCATACCCAAACTGCCACCCCTTAGAGCCATGCCAAATCAATTTACATAGGATCTTTTTAAAGTATTAATTTTAGAGGCTCCTTGGTGGCACAAGGGGTTAAGCACCACACTATGAAGCAATCCGCAGCCTCGGCAGCACGAGTTCTATCCCCGGCTGGCCAGGGAGCAACCCACATGGTGAAGACCTCTCCTGTCTTGCCCGCTGCTCTCCTCAGCAGTGTATTTCAGTCAGTCTGCCTGTTCTGTTCCCCACTCTATCTCTGGTGAATCCTCTCACCACCCCCACCCCACATCTCTGGCCTGTACCCTAGCTCTTGTATGCATAAATAAATAAATCTTTAAAAAAAAATATTAATTTTAAAGGAGCCTAAAGCAAACATAAATGTAAATCCACAAAGCCACTAACAAGTGAAAAGTCAATTGTAAATACTAATTGCCTAATTTTTAAGTTTGCTATTGCAAAGCAATGGTTATCAACTATTAGCATTTTTTAAGTTCACTCAGAAGCAAAAAAGCAGACAAACTACTGAAACAACTTTAAAGTTTTACTACAATAAAGAGGAACTATGGATGTTCAAAGCACATACCTATCCTTTAAGGGAATTAGGATAAAATTTGCAGTTTTTATTCTAGAGCAGTGAATAAAAAAAAGAGTAAGGTCTTGAGTGTGTCACTAACAATGTTAACTCAATTCTCCATTCTAAAAAGTTTTTCTTCTTTTTCCTACCACTTCATGTTTGCTGCGAGGATGAAGATACATAAAAGAGCACTTTAAAGTATTGTATCAACCAACTTTATGATATGGCCATGTAGGCCAATTAAGATCAAATTTAAGTATTCACATCACAAAGGCACATTAACTGTATAAAAGTCCAAACATAGAAAAGTGGCTTAACAGCCTTTTGGTTCTTTGCACAGCACCTTATAAAAGGTGCCCAAAAGGGAGCCAAAGAGAAAATGATCCATTTTCTAAGAAAGACTGTTATGATGTGAAAGTACCAGCAATGTTCAATATAAGAAATATTGGAGAACTATCAATCGTAAGAACTCAAGGACCCAAAATTGCACCTGATGGCCTCAAGCGTTGTGTTTTTGAAGTGAGCTTTGCTGACCTTCAGAATGAACTCACATTTAGAAAATTCAGGGCAAAACTACCTAACTTTCATGACATAAATCTTACCCAAGATAAAATGTGCCCTACAGTCAAAAAGTGGCAGACCATGATTGAATATGTCAAGACTACCTATGGTTACTTGCTTCATCTAGTCTATAACCATCAGATTTGGAAAACCTCTCATGCTTAGCACCAACAGGTTCGCCAAATCTGGAAAAAAGATAATGGAAATCATAACCCAAGAGGTGTAGAAAAGTGACTTGAAAGAGGTGGTCAATAGACTGATTCAACAGCATTGGGAAACACTGAAAAGGCTTGCCAATCTATTTTACCCTCTTCATGAAGTCTTTGTTAAGTAAGTAAAAATGCTGAAGAGGCCCAAGTTCAAATTGGGGGAACTTATGGAGCTCATGATGAAAATTCATTCACTAAAGGTGAATGAACTGATGGATATGAACCACCAATCCAAGGTTCTGTTCAAAATTCAGACTTTCAAAGCTGACAAGTAAAATGTCTCATTTGTCTATAAAAAAGGTGGCTTATTAATGAAAATGTACTGGTTTCAAATCACTTGTCATCAATTTTAAATTTTCAAACATTTCTAATTATAAATATCACCATATAGAAGTTATTTCTGAAAAGCTCAATTTATAATATTTATTATAAGTATTTATTTATAATACTGGAATGCCTACCCTGATGTCTCCTGAATGCATAAAGTGGCTTCAGGTATTAAGAAAATCATCTAAAATTGAAATCAGAAGTTTGCGTCTGTCTTGTTCTGGGACAAAATAATTATCTCAAAATGCCTAGGTAATTATTTTGCATATCAACCTGAACAGTTTAATAATCAGAACACATGAACAATTTCCCCAAGATGAACTTTTAAGGCTTTTTAATCAGAAAACAAAATTTATCTGCAGTAACTATGAAAAATAACCAACTCCTCTTATGAAATGTTTTTTTCCTACAGGATTTGACAATGTCCTTATATTTTATTTTTATGGAGTCAATGTTAAAAAACAATCTTTAAACCTAGAAAAGTATTTCTCAACTTAAATTTTCTTTTAAAATGTTTACATCTATGTTTCACAGCCACTTCGTTTAGAAAACGTAACTAGTCATTAAAAATTTATTACAAGTTTGCCTTCATAACATTTCAATTTAACTTTATGATTAAAACCTCATGCTTACACAACCACTAGAAGAATGAAGCACTGGACCATTCCTCTAAGAATGTACCCTAACACCTAAGAAGCTACTGAATCAAAAGCCATCAACCACCATGTCTTTTTCAAATATTTCCATAAGTTTCCAAGTTTCTCTGGTCTTTTACAAGACTTCCTCAGTAAAGAAGGATACTACCTTTACTGAAAAGTCCTGACCATAGGTCTCTGACCTGTACCCCAATTCTTGTATAAATAAATCTTAAAAAAAAAAAAAAAAATATATATATATATATATAGCATAGAAAGGCAGTTTTGAAAGATGAATACTAAATGAAGTCATTTATTTTAGGTTAAATCACATAAAAAAGGCCTACCTCTCAAAATAAGTCTTTTATTCCAGGATAGGTCACTATTTTTGTTAGGCAGGACTAAAAAATATTATCACAACTCTGAAAAAAACCCACTATCAGTTTTAAAGGAAATTAAAAACTGTCACATTAAATAAAATTATTGACTGAACTAAATTTCTTGGAATATATAATAATGCCAGGTATTTTCCTTTCTGAGCAATTTATCTGCCCCAATGATCCTATGTAAAACTTTCCTTTTTTATAGATTATCCCTGTGAAACTTTTAGACAAAAATTATAAATACAACCAAAACACATGTGAACATTTTCAAACACAACAGAACAATTTTTACCTCTTCACTCTTTGACTTATGAAGAACAAACCCCTTCTTCCACTGTCCATCAGCACCTTCATTTGGTTTTCGGATATTAAATTCTACTTTTGCTCGGTCCTTATTTTGAATAGCCTTCCATTCATCCAAAGTCATCTCTTTTGGACCCTCTTCCTTTACTTCTTCAACTTCATTCTCCCTGTGAAACATGTTAAGTTTTACACCTGGTCAGGGGCTGATAAAATCTATGTAATTTTAGGATTATTAATAAGGAAATTAACCTTGGCTGGTTGGTAAATGTTTAGAGATTATCCAAGGGCAAGAGGATGTTTTCATTGTAACCCAATGGCTAACAGGAAAGTTTGGGTAACTGAAAAATACACAATTCATCTTCATAAACTTTTAAATGACCACTGTGTCAGTAGTACAATTTGAACCATTACTGAACATATCTCACAAACCACAGTACTTTGTTTTAAAAACTGCACTGTTACGTGATTGAAATCTTGGCCTAACTTCTAAAACACTTTAAATGCCCTTAACTTCCCACAATATGTAACTCACAACATATCTGAAAGTCATGATCTAGGATGGCTGTGAGCAACCAAGTTTCATACTCTGGAATTTAAAAAAGAACTGTTTCTCTATTACTCATTTCAGAAATTAACATTTAAGGCAAAAGTACCTTAAAAGTCAAGTTTCTACAAATCCAACTTGCATATGAATAGGGGACTACAACTTCACTAATAATGGAATTCTCCACAAGCACAATGATTTTGATACCTAGTATTAGTTATTTTCAAATATAATTCACAGGTTTTAACTACTGTGTAGTATCCTTTTCCCTTTTTACAGAAATAACACAGGCACAGGCATTCATTATTTTATCATAATCTCAAAACCCAATAGTCACTAAATAAGCATTTGCTATTTTCAGAGCTCTGGATCTTTCCAAAGATAGCAGGTGATTCAGTTAGCCTTGGAGCTCAAATATCTCCCTTTTCATGCTACTCTTTACTGCTTCGCAAATTTGATTTAAAACTTCCTATAGGAAGCTGACAATGAATTTACAAGAGCTATCAAGTCCAGTCATCTTTCACAGGATGAGAAAATTAAGTATCAAAAACGGGTCCGGGTTACTAGTAAGTTATGACATAGCCAAGTATAGAACACTGCATACCTGTATCACATCATGAATCCATGATACCTACCTTCAAGGTGTGCACTAAGAATCAAATGAGAAAGAAAGAAAGGTTCTGGATACCATATGTAAGCAAGTTAAAGTTATCAGAGAAGTGCTTCTGGAATTTATATTCCATATACAAGATATGATACTATTTGTTCAGACACTCTCCTACTCTGGAGTAAAGCTAGATTGCTCTAATGTCATCAAGATGTATTTTAGGCCAAATAACCAGTTTCATCCCTGGGTCCAAAAATAACAATTTGTTTCCAATTCTCTACCAACATGTCATATCTCTCTGGTATTATAATCTTTGCAGGTCATGCTAAAGGTGACTGAAACATGGGCTCTTTAAATTCATCTATTACAATTTTGTTTACCACATAAAATTATGATTCCAGTTTCATTTAAATGAACTGTTAAGTACCCTAAGTTCAACACATCACTTGACACCATATACTTTTATTTACTCCCTTGAACAGTTAATCGATTCTTTATATCAACAAACCTGTGGACAATGACACTCATATCATTCTTAGAGAAGAGGTAAAGTTTAGAAAGCATCTCCGTCCACCTCCATATTGATTTGAATGTGCCCTTGTAAGAATTACTGACCTAAATAATCTGTAATCCAAGACTTTAAACCACAATACTGAAGAAATGACTGGCCTTTAACTTCAACTTGGGTTGGTAGTAATAGAGGCCAGCATTAAGTTACTTCTGTCAGAATAATTTGAATCTTTAAAACTAACCCAACCTGTAACACATGAAAACCTCAAAACGAAGCCTTCTACTTAAAAATTCAGAATACGTAAACGATTAAGAAACAAGTGAACCTATATTCTAGTCTTTGCTCTCAAACATTTAAAACAAGTCAACAATGCTATGTTCCAAATTCTATGTTTGTGGAAAAAACTTAAGAAATAGAGACATTTTAAAAGTCACATCTTCTAATTTTAGTGTCCCAGAGTAAAAAGTGTAGTTTTAAAGTGTCTCAAGTACTCTGAAGTGAATCCCAACTAAACATTGCAAACCATTCGGTCTAATTTTTTAAAAACCCCAATTTCAACTTCTAGTTCCCACCTATTTGATCTGGACAACCATCTCATCATCTCTACCAAGTAAAGCAATTAGATAAAATACATGACACCTGGGCCTCCCTGACGGCGCAAGGGGGTAAGCACTGCACTATTAAGCAATCTGAACCCTCTGCAGCACGAGATCAATCCCCGCTGGGCAGGGAGCAACGCACATAGTGCAGCAGACCTCTCCTGACTCCCCCGCTGCTCCCCTCAGCAGTGTATTTCTATATTTCAATCAGTATGCTCCCCACTCTGTCTCTAGTGAATCCTCTCACCCCTGGCACCCCCCGCATCTCTGGCCTGTACCCCAGCTCTTATATGCATAAATAAATATTCAGCGCCCCACCCCCCACCCCAGTGATGCAGCGGTTGAGCACTGGGCTGCGAAGCTGCCCGCGCAGCCTCTGCAGCACTGGTTCGATCCCCGGCCACCAGCAAGAGTCCCATGCGGCGCACTGCTCCCCTCAGAAGTGTACTTCATCCGTCTGCCTATTCTGTTCCCTGCTCCGGCTCTGGTGAATTCTCTCACCCTCCTGCGCTTCTGACTGTACCCAGTGCTTGTATAAATAAATAAATCTATCTTTAAAATAAAAATCATTAAAAAAAATCTTCAAAAAACAGAAACAAAAAACATGACATCCTATTTTTAATTCTTCATTCTCAGGTTAAACTAGCTAAATTTTGTTGCGCTAACAGGTTTTTTCCTCATCTTTTTAAGGTGACTGATAATTTCAAATAGACATTTCTATTTTTCAACCATTAAAGCCCAAAATACACATATAAAGTCTGTCTCTAAATCGGTATTATTTGAGGAGCTGAGTTACAATACATTTCTCTTTGAAAAGTCATCTAATAATAACATCAAAGGTTCTTTTCCCAGTAAATACCCAAGTTTCCTACAACGCTGGAGTATCACCACATTGTATTAAACTACGTACTTATTTTCAGTGTCTGCCACTGGATGTTCTTCACCTTCAGGTGTTTCCTCAGTCACATTTGATTGATCCAAGTCACTGCAATTATAAGATATTTGTTTCTGAATGTATTTTGGGGACTCTCTAAGGAAAGAAGAAAAAGAAAGGCATCTAGGTCCATTTACATGTAGCTGAAGGATTCTTTATACAAAAAGTTGTTTTTTTAAATCCTTACATTCCTAAAGGTCTTTTCCTACTAAAATTTACTCTCTAGTAACTTCTAGGAGAGAATAATTTTAAATTGTATACTGATTAAGTTACAGTTCAAGTACTTAACTCATAAAATAGACAAAGGAGTTCTAAAACAATCTCACCAGCATATCAAATTTTTTAGGATCAACAGCTAGACTAGTGACACTCATTAATGACTTTCAAAAAAAAAAATCACAATACTCAAATAACTTTAATATAGAGTTTTGGGAAAAACTAATATCCATGAGAAGAAAATTATCACTGAGTACAGAAAAACTGGTTATTAGGTACATTAAAACCTGAATATATTCAAAAACACATTATAAGAACGCTAAGATGAGAGCATTATTTCTTGTCCCAAATAAATTTAATAGTTATGGGTTAATGCCTAGTTGGTCCCTAGTAAGAAACAGAATCAATTTTGTTAAAAGTATTTTTTAAAAAATCAGAATACCAACGTTAATTCATCTTTGACAGTTCCCCAGTTGTGAGATCCGCTACCTCCACGTTTGTCCTCATGCTTCAGGCCACTATAATGTGAGAAAGAACTAACAAAACTGAGTTAACATAATACTCTTTAGTTCTAGAAATTCAAATTTTATTTTACTAAAGAAGGAAAATAAAATATAAAATGTATTTAAAACCAATATAAGACTTACGATCTATCACTTCCACTATGCCTATCAAATTCACGTTTGCCACGAGAATCAAATCCATCTCCTCGGCCCATTCCACGTCCACGGCCTCCTCGGCCTCTTCCAAGACCACCGCGGCCTCGGATAGGCCGGTCAATAATCGGTCTACAACAAAGAAAAAATATATACTTCTCAGGGTTAAAATAAAAAGGGGTGGTGAATACCCAAAGACTCAGAAATACAGGAACAGTTACTACTTCATAACCTAACTGCTAAAGACATGTTTTAGATAAGTCAAAACAGGCTATTTCCAAGCACACAGGAAATCAGAGCATGAAAGCTCCCACAAACAAGAAAATTATTTTGGTGTTCTCTAAAACTTTACTACTGGTAATACTTTTTCATTGTTATTCACTGCACGTTATAATGCAGATAAACTATTTACCAATTCACCTGAAGATTAAAATTGGCACACATAACCTGCATATAAAAACAGTATTGCTTACATAAACAATTACCCAATAGAACTGTTCTAGAAACTCAACATCTGGTGACAGTAAGGAAAAGAAATTGGCTATCAATTCAAATGAAGTTTCCATATAAGAAATCTATGTTTAAACACCAAAAACTGCCTGCAGAATGTCTGAACCTTAACAACAAACAATTCACGTGTTTCTTTGAAGAACTATTATAACCAGCCACCCTGCTACCTGACACTTATACCCAGTCTATAGCTTTGTGTTAACATGTGACTACAAACTGACAAAACAGTAAGATATTTTTAAAAATCTTGCCTATCAACTGAAAATTCTCCTCCTTCACCCTTTTCTTCAAGTGGCTTTTCGAATCGTCGTTCACGAGGTGGTCGCCTTTCTGGTCTCCTATCAATTATTTTCCCTTCACCCTGAAGTTGCTGATCAGGTCTTCTTCCAACACGTCTTATTCCTAAAATGACAAAAAACCCAAATAAGTTATTTCTATAAAAAAAAATTAGGCTTAATTATAAGAGAAAAAAATGTTGACACACTTTCAGTCTACTAAAAAGCTCTTCCTGTTTGTACCCAGGCAAACACTGGATATCTCTAAAGTGTAACAAAGTACTTTATAAGTGGTAATTCATCTGGACAGTCATTATTCCCCTTGCTTTTTAAGGTACCAGTCTCAACTTAAAATTCTAAATTTAAAGAACTTTTTAGGCAATGATATATTTTGACTTTAAAAGATAAAAATGAGATAACCAGTCTCCAGTCATACAAGCAAACCCATACATTCACCAGAAAAGGACCCCTCAATAAAATAGTGAAGGCCACACTATTCTACATTATCTGGAAGGGGAAAAAAATGCAATGAGAAAAAAAAAAAAACGCAGTAGTTTTATGAAATTATAGACTGAAAGGAAAACAAAGGGCACTTTGAGTTACATTTCTATAGTTTAAAAGTTATTTAACCAGAAAAGAGTACCATCTTCCTCTTCTACTACATTTTTACACATATGCAGGCAAACACACACAGGCACACAGCACACCTAACTTAAAAATATACTACTATTCCTATGCAGTCACTAAGAAATGGTCTAGTTATTTTATGGTGGACAGCTTTTTTTTAGTTTGCTTTTATAAGCATGTTTCAAAAAAAATCTTTAAAAACCACATATATACACAATAAAGTAATAGGTCAGAAACAGGAGCTTGAGGTACTAAGTGGTGGCTGAAACATTTACTAATTTCTCCCCGGAGGCCCTTGGTGGCCTTAAGAATAAGGAGATTGATGTAATATAATAGGTGACTGTAAAGTATCAGGTATGCTTCAAGTTTACAGGCTTGGTGTTCCCAAACCACAATTCTGACAAAGTCAACAAGTTGCTTAGGAACTGGTTTTTATAACACACAATCTTAAGTTGGTTCACCCTAGTTCTTTCTAAAAAATTGAAACACCATCAGGGCATACCCCAGTGTTCAGATGCTTGTAAATGAAGTTAAACAGTAAATACCAAACTCTGAAATGAAAATGTAAGGCCGGTTTAACATAAACTCTAAGGATAGACCACAAGAGTCAGTACATACACCAATGCATTTTACATAAATTTCATCAGAAGTATAGTGTATTAGGGTGGAGCTATGGAACCAGCATTATAATGATATCCAAGCCAAACACACCCAAATGAACAATGGCTTACTTCCCCACCCAATACCCAGTATTAGGCTCACAGAATCTAAAAAACTTAAATTCACCCAATGAAAAAATGACTGACATGTTAAAATGCCAATCTTTTATTTGTCTATCTTGCAAGTTCACTTGATTTTCACTGGATTCCAGGCTTAAATATTAGAAAACATATACCTCTTTGGTCTAGTGTCATCTCAAGTTCTTCGAATGACAGAGGCGCCTCAAAAACGAATTCATTAGAACACAACCATTAAATACACACCTAAGATGTCAAATATCTAATATATATATGTATATATCCATAGTGTGTGGTAAAGTAAGACTGGTGGCTTTTCTGGTTAAATAGCTTTTTAAAAGTATGGGGATGTAATCTGGAGTGCCTAATCTGGAGAGTCATCAATCTAGAATTTTCTGCCAAAACCTATGCTATATTCAAAAGTAAAGATCACCAGATCAGGTAACAATCCTTGTCACTTCAAGAAGCAGGAACTTTGTTTACAGGTCTATCTATCCCCATACCCTGAGCACTCACTGACAAGTAACAGGATCTCAAAGGAATATTGACTCAATATTTCCCCTATAACTATAAGCTTGCATTTTATGCAATTTAAGATTAAGAAAAGCTGATCTAAGGAAAAAGTACTGAAAGTTAATAGAGGTTTTCCCAAAGACTACTGAATGGCAAACTCAATGCTAATTATAAACTTATGAAATTAACTCCTTATCTTTGTTACTTAAAATATTAGTTTCCAGGTGAGACCTTATTTCAAAAGTGAGCTTTATGATCAAAGCAACTAGGGGATTTAAATCATGTTTCATGCTCTTAACATTCAAAATGGGTGAACACATCTACCTGGTACATTTACACTTGAGACTATTTTTCTTGTGTTTTCTTTGGATTAATGTAATCAAGTTGGTAAACTGGACATACTTTAATTACACAAGCCAGGATTAACACAGAAATTAAATGACTTAGTCAATCGTGTCTCAGGCTGTCATAAGGCTTAGTTGACTGAATGTGTTCACGCTTCCTAATACCCTAACCTTGCTTCTCCCCATCCTGTAATTTTTATACAGTAATTCTTTGTTTTTACTCATCACCTGGAATTTCATTCCAAGTCATACAAAAATCCTTTATTAAAAAAAAGTAACTAAAACCTAAGCTAATTATTCTAAGTTGAATGCTATCAAATTCAACTAGAGCCAAGGAGAGAACTCCTTTCAAGAGCACGTGGCAGGAAAGGGTAAATCCAACTTTCAAGCTGTAAAAGCAAATTAAAGGTTCAGAGCCTTCCATACTACAACCCACTTGCTATTGAACGACCATGCACCCTTTCTCCCAGCTCTTTTGCCTCTCCATCCACCACAAAACAAGCCAGTCCCTAGAACCTAAAAATCAAAGTCGAGTCAATCCAAGGAGGCTTACAGTGCCTTGGAAGCAACTATTACCCGCCAATGAAACCCTGACCACGCTTCACGCACATGTGGGGGGAAAGGCTAGTCTCAGCGTGCTAAGGTTATGACAGCCTCTGCATTCGCTTCACCACGAGGCTTAGGCCAGACACTCCACACCACATGAAACAGTGAGCGCGGGTGTTAGGAAGAAACGAGAACGCTCCCCAGGTCATTCCTGCAATAACCAGTGTTCGTTCAGAATTCCCGTTTCTGCAAAACTGAGTGTGGCTAAGTTTCTCTCCTTCCCAACAGCAAGTTAATAAGTATATCATAGCTGGTGTGTGTGTGTATGTGTGTGCGCGCGCGCGTGTGTGCGAAGAGAATGAGAGAACAAAGCACATGTGGCACCTAAAACGGCAGCTTACCCCACAATATAATAACTTCAAACATGTAAGCAGCTTAGGTGTAAACTCTGACCCCCGGCTCCGCGCCATCGTGGGACAAGATGGCAGAACAGAAGCCTAAAAGACAGAACAGCATCTCAAAGGAACACGCCGAGGGAAAGCTTGGAGCAGGAAGGCGCGGTGGATCGCAAGCTTCCCGCAACTACGAAAGCTTAAGCGAGAAACTAAGCTCCCCGAACCCTCAGTCCATGCGCTCGCCCGCCCAAGAATCCGGCGGGAAGGCAACAGCCTCCCAGGATCCCAAGCACGCTCCGGGAGCAGCTCCTCTCCGGACCGCGCTTCTCCGCTCCGCAGCTGAGGCGGGAAGGGGGTGGCTCCAGGATCCTCGCAGGCGGTGGTTTGAACTTGGAGCTACCACGCTCCCAGCTCCTTCGCAGAACCTGGCTTCGGTCGCGTGGGAGAAACGTGGGGAAAGCGGGGGCAGTTTCCCGCGGACCCTCCGAGCTCCAGAAGCAAGCGGTATCCGCAAGTCCCCTCACGCCTTCCCTCCACACTGGGTTTACCCCCCACCTTCCACCACAGCTTTACCTTCTTTCTTCAGCGCCACGGGCGGCTGCGTCTCCTCTTTCTTGTCAACCACGCCAACGCTGGGAGGCAGTGGGTTCTTGCGGTCTTTCTGGGACTCTTTACGCAGCTGTTTACCTGCCGCGTTGGAGTTGGTCTGAGCTGCGGCCTGAGCTGCGCTCTTGGACCCAGGGCCCCCAACGCCGCCCCCGCCGGCTTCTTTTTTCTTGTTCTCTGCTGCCTTCAACACCTCGAAGGGGTCCGATTCGTCGTCAAATAACTGGTCGAATCGGTTGGTGACCACGCAGCCGAAGCCTTCCTGTAAGTGGCCAGGCATGATGGTGGCTCGGCGGCGCGTTCCTCCACGGATTGCAGCGGGCCGCGCCGAGCCAAGAGCGCCTGCTTCAGCTCTTCCCACAAGATGGCCGGGCCGAGAGAGGGGGGCCGTCTTCTCTTCCGGCGCCAGACACACATCCGGGATCGGCCAGCGCCGCACGGCACCATGGGGTATGTAGGCCAAAGTCGCTTCTCCCGAGCCAACTCCCGGTGATAGGACTACAACTCCCAGAATGCATGGCGCTACAACTCTTCGCGCGCGCCTAAGAGGCGGGACCTCACCGAGGGCGTGGCGCGTGCGAGCCGAGGGAGGGGATGAGCCGTGGTGGGCGGAGTCTTGCCACCTGCTCTTCGCCACCCTTGTGCTCTGGCTGTTTAGCTGCCCTGAAAACCGGAAAACGTGACTGCGAATTTCGCTCGGGAAAGTTCTCTGTCTTCGGTTTTATTTTCCCCGCCTCCAGCAGGGCTAACTTTCCCCACCTCTTCAGGAGGGTCAAGGTGACTCCGGTATCTTACAACTGGAAGACTCAAACTTCCGGGGCTGGGGGGAGTGGGGGGGAAAGGGGGTGTGGGGGGGTTTACTGAGGTGCTGCCCTGGCCTCGCGGAGGCTCCCTGCGATGTTTCTAGTCCCGGGCTGCTCAGTTGCTAAAGTCGCCCTTCTGCACGCCCAATAATGAATCGAGACTCTTCTGTTAAATGCGAAGTGAAATACGCTTCCTCTGGCGGGCACCTTGCTACTCCGGGTAGCAGAATTAATCAAAAAGACAAGTTACACTATCACGTGGTGATGGTGTGCACCTTTCCCTGGCGAGAAATGCCGGGTCGCGACGGCTGCTTTAATTGCTGTTAACTCCTGACAGTGCAGCACTAGACACTAGGCAGCCCTCTCTGTACAAATACTTTAGCACCTGGCAAGCCAAGGATTAGATGCTAGGAAAAGTGTGCACAAGAAATAACATTTTAGAGAAGCTACGTGTATAGCGTGCTGAGGGATGCAGTCAGGGGTGGAAAATATCAGAGATCGGTCATTTCTGAAAGCTTTGATATGAGTTGAAAATATTAAGCCTATTAAGGTAATACAGTATCAATGCATATGTTAAAGCATATTTGGTAATGTTAAGTATTTATATCACAAAAAATTCATTTACAATAAAAAATGCTTTTGTACCACGTGCTGTGAATAACCTTAATCTCAACAAATTGTTAGATAGGTAGTTTCACCTTTTCACAGATGACTTACCAAATTCACCAAGCGTTAATCCAGACTTCTAACTCCATGCTGAGACTGTTGACATCCAGTCTAGCCAAACTGTCTTAGAGAATTATATTAATCAATTTCTAATACTTAATGAGATTTGGACATTGTATATCAGTCAGGTCGGGTGTGTAAGGTAGCAGAATGTAGTGTCATCAATTTCTGAGCAGATTTTAAATCAATTCCTTAGCAGGGAGAGTAAGAGTCATATTACAGGCATGTGACAGCAAGCCTGGTGGTTTTTTCGTTTCTAAGTCCTCCCCCACTCCCCAAGGTCCCTTATTTCTCTGTTGCCTCAGTCCCTACCACACCGCAGGCCTGTCTCACTTTTACCCCCTAGCCCCCACAACCTTACACAGACTCTGACTCTTTGGCTCTGACCAAGACAAAAGACAAGAAACTTCTGACTCTTCCTGTGCTTTTGAAAATAGCTCAAGTGCAATTTGGAAGATCTCCGTGATTTAACACTTTCTCCTTCACCAAGGCCATCTCTCAGACATCTGCTAAAGCTCTTCTTACCTCTTTCTCACCACTATCACAACTTTAAGAACTAAAATTTGATATTTGCTGTGTGCTTGGTGCACTTACATATGTGATCCCATTTAGTCCTCACGTCAACTCTGAAAGGTATTATTTCCCTTTTAAGGTGAGGAAAATGAAGCACTCCTATCACAGTCTGGTGAGTAGAAGGATCCTGTTCTTAGTCATTCCTATGATCTGAACAGATCTCTGGTGTTCTCAAACATATCTTTATGACCACCAAGCCCTGTTGCAATAAGAATAAGAGAATTGTGTGGCGATGAATTTATACGGTTCACTTATACGTTTCAGAGAGTTTACCTATTAATATGACAAAAACAGATTTTTGTAAGGACTTTCAGCTTCCTTCTCTCCTGGAAATCTGGTTAATTCAGATAAGTTTTAAAGCCTATTTTTCAAAAATACAAATAAAGCTTACAATGGCAAGATTTTTACATTTCACAATCAACTATTTTACAAGTTATTTTATAATAACTTATAATTTGTATTTTAGAAATTATTTTCACTCATGTTTTCTTTCTCCTAGAAAGTTAAAAAAAATAGTCTTTAAAAACATTAAAAAGATTCTGCTACTCAGTAGAAAAATAATGGCCAAATAAACCTCAAGGGAGGAAGAAAGGAGACTTCCTGGCAGACTGTTATTCAAATTAAAGACATGAGGGAGGAAAAAAAAATAAAGGCAAGAGTTGTAAAGTAACAAGTTATAAGATACCGCTAATTAGAAATGTGACCTAAAATATCAGCTTTTTATGAATCACATATTGTTCTCTGAAAAATACTCATGAAACCTCACAGCCTTGTCCATGGCAAACTCTCCAGCAGTTTTCTAGCAGTAAATACTGACATATCCAAATATCTTGATTAAATATCTAATATACTTGCCTATGTTACTAAAACTGAAAAATAGACTATTCGATCTCCTTCCAGCCCCCATTTGCTTTTGGGGTACTAAAACACAAATTCTCAGCCACACTAGAACTTGTTTTTTTCCATGCCTTAATTATCTCAATTCCTTGTTATTAGCTTTTGCTGTGTAATAGTAATTACTAATAACTACTATAATTTGAGTACTTACTATGTCCTTAGCACTGTGCTAAATATCTTCCATGCATTATTTCCTTTATTTCTCAGTACAATCTTATGAAGCAGATAGTATTAGTAAATCTTCCTCCACAAATGGGGAAACTGAAGTTAAGTGCCTCTCCCAAATTCTCCTTGCCTGAAAGAGTTCAGACAGTCTGGTGTCACAGCATAGGTACCCCACTATATACTTGTGGGGGACATGATTGTGAGGAACAAAGTCCCTCATCTTTACTTTTGCTATCACCTGCAGAAAAACAAAATTACTGTACTGTTATAACACTTTGAGGACAGGTACCACATCACTGTAAGTAAGAGACTAGTTTTTAGTGTACTCTGAGTATACAACTCATTTTCAAATAAAAGCAATAAAAATGTTTCTTGTGAAGAAAAGGACAGACCCTCTATGTCTGAGGATGGAATGCTAAATATAATATTAGAAGTCTAGGAGCCTGCTAAAGTTAGAATATCAGGGCTAAAAATAGATATTACACTCTATTTTGCCACCTCAGACTTGCTTTGAGGGTTGATCCTCTTGATTGTAATTTTTCCTTCCTTTTGTCCTTATATTGTACTTCAAAAAATAAAAAAAAAAAAACTTTACTAAGATGTAATCCATATGCCATATAACTTACCTATCTAAAGGGTACTTGTCAGTGTTTTTTAATATATTCACAGAATTGAACAACCAAGATTGCTATCCAATTTTAGGACATTTTTTCCACCCCCAAAAGAAACCCATACTAAAAACAGTGCACTCTCCATACCGTCTATCCCAGCCCTAATCTACTTTCTGTCTCATAGATACACTAATTTTGGACATTTCATGTAAATGGAATCAAATAGTATGTGGTCTTTATAACTGACTGCCTTCACTTAGCATGTTTCCTGGTTTATCCATGATACATGCATCCAGTACTTCATTTCTTTTTATGACCATATAGTCCATTGTGTGGATAGACTACATTTTATTTATCCATTCATTATTAAATATTAATGGACATGTGGGCCATTTCTGAGTATTTATTCTCATGAGTAATACTACTATGAATGTTTGCAAAGCTTGTGTGGACCTATGTTTTCATTTCTCTTAAATACATACCTATGAATGGAAGTGCTGAGTCATATATCTCTATTTAAGAGGAGCCAAATCGTTTTCCAAAGAGGCTGTACCATTTTACAATCCCACCAACAATTTTGAGTTTGAATTCCTCCATATACTCACCAGTGCTTGTTATTGGCTATCTTTTGGGTAACCAAAACTATCCTACAGGATGTGAAATGGTATCTCATTGTAATTTTAATTTGCATTTCCCTAATAGTTAATGATGTTGAGCATCTTTTAATGTGCTTATTGGCTACTTTGATATCTTTCTTGAAGAAATATTTATTATATGCTTTGCTATTTTCTATTAGTATATTTATATTTTTATCATTGAGTTGTGAGAGCTCTTTGTATATTTTAGCTATATGACTTACAAATATTTTGTCTCATTATCCTGTAGGCTGACCCTCACTTTCACCTTCTTGGTGATATCCTTTACAACAAAAAAGTTTTGAATTTGATGTGTTCTTTTGTAATGAAGTCCAATTTACATAATTTTTTGTCACTTGTATTTTTTTTAATCTTTTTTTTTTATTTTTATACAAGAACCTGGGTATAGGCCAGATGCATGTGAGGGTGAGAGGATTCACCAGAGACAGAGCAGGGAACTGAACAGGCAGACTGATGAAATACACTGCTGAGGGGAGCAGCGGGCGAAACAGGAGAGGTCTGCTTCGCCATGTGGGATTCTCGCCGGCTGGCCAGAATCAAACCGGCACTGCAGAGGCTGAGGACGGCTTCTCAATGCAGCACTCAACCGCCTGCGCCACCAGGGAGGCCCTTGTCACTTGTATTTGTATGTCTAACAAGCTTTTGTCTAACCCAACATCACAAAGACTTATTCGACATTCTCTCCAAAAGTTTTATAAAATTTTTAAATAATTTTAGCTCTTCCAAGTAGGCCTATGGGGCCTCCCTAGTGGTGCAAGGAGTTAACTCGCATCGCTATGAAGTAATCCACAGCCACTACAGCACAAGTTCAATCCCTACTGTCCAGGGAGTTAGGACTCATGACACAGCACACCTCTCCTGTCTTGCTCCCTGATCCCCTCAGCAGCGTATTTTAATCACTCTGCCTGTTCTGCTCCCCACTCTGTCTCTGGTGGATCCATTCACCACACCACCCACACCTCA